GTAACACTGTAAACATATATTTGCTCGTGTGTGCCCATAAGTAGCATGCATGTTCCACTATATTACATTATTTTAAATACAGTTGTTATAATTAAATTATACCTTGTACATGTAATATGGAGAGAGCTTTTATAGGCTGTGCTTGTTGCTCAATCCTTTTCATATCTTGAATAAAATATGTTTAAAATCAAATAGATAATGAGCTGAATTCAGAATATCTGTGTGCTTTTCAAGAACGTAGACAACTTATGTTCACATTTTGTTGTTCTCCATCTCAAAGTCACAGTGAGACCTTCAATACGGGGCCAAAAAACCTCTCACCTCACTGCAAGTTTACGGCCTCTAGCACCGGTTTGAGCGGAATTCTTTGCCAAATAATTTGGGTAGACTTTGGAAGATGTAACACCAACAAATTGGGCCCGGTCAAAAAGAACATACTGGAAAGTAGTACATATTTGAAATAAAATTGTTCCTACACTTAGGTGTAAATATCAAACTATATAGATATATTTAGGTATCAAAGTTTGACTGATAATTCTGAATGATACAAAAATGTGTGAATAAATCTAAAAAGGAAGGCATATATATATATATTGACTGTTTCTCAGATATGAAGTACCTGCTTTGGTATATTCAAAGTTCTGGTAACCGGTACGGTTTGATGTGTAATAAATGGTAAATAGACCCCCCCCCCCCCCTAAATGAATGTATACAAACTGGCCAAAAATTAAGAGAATGATGAATGATGTGGCACACATTTATTAGAGAAGTTATCTGAAGAACAAATACACCATAACTTTAAAAATATATAAGAGCATGCATGCGTGTGTATGAGTTGGGTAAATAGCCTTTGTATATAGAGAGCTATTGCAGAATACTTAGATATTGGTGTACATTACATTCTTGTAGCTTGGAAATGTTTAAAAGGTCATTTTTAAAACCTCTTGACAAACAAAACTGGGCCTTATGTAAGAGGTACTGAAATATTGTTACACAGAAACATATTAGTTGGTTATGGTTGTCAAGATGTATAGTTACATGCTATTACTACTGATTTGTTTTTGCAAGACATTGTTAATAGAATGAAAGGTAATTTTGTGAGTGAAATGAATGCTTTTTTTAATGAGTCACCAAAGTGGCAATTTTATAGGTCTATACACGATCCAGATAATTTACAATTTTATTTACAAAATCCCGTTAACTATATGTATTTTGTATAAGCCATGTATTGGTAGATATAGATTGTCTGCAAACTGCCTTAACATGAAAACCGGTAGGTTTTATAATATTGAAAGAGAAAAAATATATTTTGTAATATGTGTGACAAACATCTGATTTAAGATGAATATCATTATACTTCAGTATGTGACAAATATTTTGATATAAAAAAAACCATATAAAACCATTTTATTGGAAAAAAAACATCTTGTTATATAAAGAATAATACATTGTAAAATCCGTATCACATGCTGTAGCAACCCGATTACCCAGTAATTGATTTGTAATACCTGTTTTACGGGCGCTATAATTATCTTTCCGCCCACTTATATGTGCTGATTCAGTCATGTTTTTACAATATTTGCAATAGTGTGTTTACCCATTCACTGATTTATAAACCAGTTCCCCATTTTTTTATTTTTAATTCCAACATAAAATTTTGAGTCAGAAGACTTCATCTGTTCTGGTCTCTTTTCTGCATAAGTAAAGTAAACTGTGTCTGGACATCTAGGATTTCCTGCGACAAAACACAATTTAATTTTTATTGTATTTTTCAAGCATTTCACCCAATAAATTTACAGGAAATCGTGGCTATACCATGTATCTTGTATCGTGCGTGAGAGATATTTTGAATGTTTGTGTGTTAGATATATTCCTTTGGAGATATTAACACTGTATTTTTTTAATTTCATTAAAATAAAAGTATTAATGTGCTTTGTCCTCTAGCAAATTATCAAAACATAGAAAACTAAAGACTGAGCAACACGAACCCAACCAAAAGCTGGGGGTGATCGTAGGTGATCCGAAAGGGTAAGCAGATCCTGCTCCCCATTTGACACCCTTTGTGTTGCTCATGTTAGTACAAACCCGGTAATAAGTCTAATTCGGTAGGTCACATTCGAAAAAAGGGGACGGGATTGTAGTTACGACATTAGGAACATATCCGCTATCATCTGTGAAACGGATATTCCGTAACGGTCAACCAACTCGTGATGGCGTCCGTAAAATTTACCAAGGGATGATTTCAACTTCACCACTTGCAACTCTTGGTTTAATAGCTTCCTTGTGAGCAGCAACCCTCTATCAAGGAAATCATGTTAAAGTTAAAGGATACTGCCAACTTCTTTTCTTTCTACCTAAGAAGTTCCTGTATAAAGTCAGCCTCATATGAATAAAGTAACAAGTCGGCAAGAAGAGGGGCATAGTTGGTTTCCATGGGAATGCCGATTGTTTGTTGAAAATCACGTCCTCCAAACGTAACAAATATGTTGTCAATCAAGAAATCAAGCATCTTGATAATGTCAGTTTCAGACAATTTTTTGTTAGAATCAGAGTGATTTTGTACAAAGTAGGATTAATCCCTCCCTAAAACAAGATACTTGTATCTACGTTTGCCATTTTTTTTATGAAACAAAGCAGGACCAACTCTTTCAATACTCCAGATAGTTTTCCCCTTTTAGCATTTGCTGAAAAAAACAATAATCAAGAATATAAAAATTTAATTTACTTTATTATATCATAAAAATAAAAATAAATTATATATTAAGCATGATTAAAACAATACTTTGAATTGAAACTGGCTATCTGTCAATCCAAACATGTAGTTCATGGTCATTTAACAATGCATTTATTTAGGTCAACAAGTAGAGAAAAAAGGCAGCAACTAAAAATTAACTTTTAAAAACAATGAATAAAGATGTGAGACGGCATTTGTGTATTTCCAAAGAAATTATAAATCTGATATCAGACAAGTCTGCACACTTCTAAAGTCTTAGAATTTATATTGTATGTCCATGTGATGAACAATTCATTTATGTGGAAGTGCAAAGACTACTTAGGCTGACACATTCATGATACCTTCAACTATGGCAGTTCCTTTACAGTTACAACAAGATTTGTTTAACAGATTCATAAACAGTTAAAACATGTAACGTCGTTTCATATATTAAAAAGTACTTGCCTAGCCCCAACAGCTTCATTTCATATAAAATCTCAATTTCTTCCTTTGTAAGAGGGTCTGCTTTTCTAGGTCCATTTCCTTACCCTTCTGCCTTAGAAACTTTCTTTTCGAACCAAGAACATCTCGGGAGTGATTGTCTACGATTATAAATACCGGTTGATGCTGCCTTGTATAGATTTCAGAGTGTCCGGCCCAAGATATTCTCCATCAGGTTTTTTTGCAGTCATAAAAAACTAAGCTAGATGTAGGTCAAGTTCTGTCGGCAAAATCTCATGAATTTCCATGTCTTCTGCTTGAGACTCGAAACATTCCTGATATTTGTTTACATTTGTCTTCATGACTTTGTTTTCCTGACAGTGTTGGCATTGATCATCTTCAGTATGAACTTTTCTGTTGTTAGCTCCACCACGGGTTCTTCATCATTTTGAAAAAAAATGTTCAGTTATCTTATCCTCTAACTGTAAGATGTCTTCCGCCAGTATGTTCATCGTTTGTTCTCCCACTTCTACTGTCCGCGGATTGCGACTAAAAATGGACAACATTGTTGTCTACTAAAATTTCAAGCGGATCACACCTGAGGAGTTAAAAAAAAGTGTCGAGAGGTTCCAAACGAGGTGCGATACAGGCAATGCGATACGGGGTATGCAATATAGGGTATGCTATGCAGGTCTGGAATTTCCATCAAATATTCAAAATCGCGGTAACAAGTACTAAACATATGACAAATATTTATACAATGATTGTCTGTTCATATCATAAAAGCCGTACTGTGACCTATAATGGTTTACTTTTATAAATTTTGACTTGGATGGAGAGTTGTCTCATTGGCACTCATACCACATCTTCTTATATCTATTAACAATCTAGGTAAATACCTTTTTTTAGCTGCTTAGATTCGTTATTTATAATAAAATGATCATGTTTCATTATTTATATTATAAGTTGTCATTCTCCGCTGATGATTCAATGATTCAAACTTGTTTGTAACTGTAAAACACATATGAAATTATTCACCGATGCTATCAAATTTGTATACTAGTATGTAAATTCAATAAGCTGTATTGCTTTTAGTTTGAAAAAAGGAATATTAAAAAAGATTTTTAAACTGTCGTATCAACTGGGAGAAATATACTCCATATGCAGGCGCTACTGGTATATTGTTAAACAGAAATGAAAAGTTCAGAGTTGAGAACTTGAACTCATATGACATAAGGTTTTGTTCTCAACCGATCTTCATTGTTTCAATTTCTAAATATACGTTATGATATGACAAAGACTTAAATGTATTTGTGATATCCTTTATTTCAAATTCGATGAGACAGATGCGTTCAACATAGTTACCAAACGTTGAATTATTTAATGAGATGACATCATCATAAGATTGCACAATAAATTCAAAAAGATAAAAGTGAAAGTGACGTAATTCCGATTCAAATTTTCAATTATATTTGGGTTTCGAAAACATTCAATATAAATCCGCAAATTTATGTTTAGAAAGTACGAGAAGAGGGTTCTAAAACATACTTGACTGCATATAATGTAATCTATGTTGCAATTATTACAAGCAGGTTAAAGTTTATTTACATTTTCCAAGTGACTTAAACAAATTAAAGTTTCTTTTATTACAAATCGATATCTTTCATTTTAAAAACAAAATACCATCAGAATAGGTATGCACAAAATATTAAATAACCTGATCATTTCATTGTTATAATATCATAATATGGAACAATTATCATAAACATACCATTATTTAATTTATGGCACCTTTCCAATTTTTTAGTTAAAAAAACACGGTATCTAAAAATTATGTACAATTGTATTCTTTGGATCTTTCAATAGTCTATGTTATGGTATTTTGAGATAACATGTTTTCTTAAACTTTGAGTGACTTTTTAACATATTTATAAAAAGAATTAAAATGAAAGTCATGCGTTGTTGTGTCTTTTTAAATTATGTCGTGCTTACTGTTTTTTGCATTAATGACGAGACTTTTTTATGGAAAAACATCATGGATCACAGAGATTATAACAAATATATTAGGAAGCCAATTGTGAATAAAAGCGAACCAGTAGAGGTCGAAATTGAAATTGCGCTATATACAATTCATTCATTAGACATGAAGGATCAAATCCTGACAACATCACTTGGTATAAGTATGTCATGGACAGATGAATTTTTGACGTGGAATAATAGTTTGAATGGAGAAACAAATGAAATATCGGCTCCAATATCAAAGATATGGAAGCCTGATGTGTTTTTGAGAAATTATGCAGAAAAATCAAATATTTTTGACGATAATGATAAACGTGTAAATATCTACAGTAATGGACTGGTAGAGTGGCATGATGATATTGAAGTGAAAACCTATTGCTTTGTCGATTCAACAAGATACCCGTTTGAAACTGAGAACTGTAAATTACACTTTTCAGCCCAACATCTTAATAGCAAGGAACAGATGTTAACCATTCGGTTGCCAGATAATTTTCTGAATCTATTTAAATCGAATGGTGAGTGGCATATATCTAAACCTGACAAAATAAGGAATTATACAACAATTGTACATTTTAATGGAAGAAACTTCTCTTCAGTGGTTTTACACATAGAAATGGATCGCAGACAAACATATTACGTATGGAAATTTTTTGTTCCAACTATATCAATTACATTGATAAATATTGTAACATTTTTCCTACCAGTGAATAGCGGAGCCAAAGTCACGTTATCAACATTTGTTTTATTGGGTTTTACAGCAATGATTGAGTTATTTAACGAATCTTTACCAAGCAGTTCTGACAAGATTTCTTATTTTGGAAGTTTATTGTGGTGTTTACTTGGTATAAGTGGACTCATTCTCACAGTAAATGTCATTATTACTGTAGTCTTTAAATGTGGTGCTTGTGAAAGATTTTGTTCAATATTGAACTGTGAGAAGGAAGGGAACAATATGAACGAAGGTCATGCTACGACCCATATGCACACAGAAACTCTTTGTTCTTCAGGAATATGCCCAACGAGCTGCTTTGCAAAAGAAGGGGACAACAGGGCTACAAAACAAAAGTATATACCATCGCAAGACAACCAAACCCAACAGGGTATGTTCATTTACAATTTGAAATAGCTTATATTATATTATTTGATGACATTTTATCCAGGCTAAACGCTTCAACGGATAAATCGTTACAACTTTTTTGATAAAACATCGGCAAAACACTGTAAACTGTTTTAGTTACACTTTTGAATATTTTTAGGAGTACTTCATAATAAACATCATTGTGAATCATAGGTGTAGAAGGGTCACAGATATGACTAAATATTAACATCTGCTGTACCGGTGTATTGGTTCTGGCAGACATAATTACAGATTTTAGAAACATTCTTCAGTATTTACCACTAGGCAAAAAATCCACCTTACTGACTAGATCAATTTGTGGGCGCCTGGAGATTAACATAATGCGTAGTATTAAGATCTGTTGAGTTGAAATAAAATTGCGGAGAATATGTACGTATGTTCAAAAAGTATTTGAAATATTATCATACTTATATCATAAGTATTTTTTTAATAAAGGAGATGACTATTTTAATGTTTTCAGAGTTAAGGCATTGACTAGAATGTAAAATTATTTCAAGGTGCTTCGATAGCCGAGTGGCCTTAATGGTTTATTTACAGTGATAACTAGCCTGTCTACACTTAGATTTTGAGTTCTTATCCCACTTTGGCAAGGTGCATACGATTACTATCTTAAATAACCGGGATCGCCAATTATCTTGCCGAATGGCGATGGATCTCTACGGGTATTTCAGCTTCCTCCACTTAAAACACATGGCCGCATCGGTATAACCACAAACACCAAAAATCATTCAATCAAATAGTTTCGATTATACTATTAATGATTTATCTAGCTTCTGTCTCTTTAAACGCATGAACAAAATAATGTTTATGACACCGTTGGCATAAAAACGATTTCAAGAAATCAAAGGGACAAAGGTTATAGTCTCCAATGTCATAGTTGACGGTATATTCCACCCAGTACTGACATTAGAGCCCTTGTAATAGATAAAAGCATTTTAACGATAAAACGTAACGATAATGGTAACAGTTTGTTATTCTGGTTTAAAAATTGGGGTAAGATGAAAGGTCAAAATTGTGAGAAATATATTGAAATCATCATATTCAAGATACTGTTCGAATTCAAAAGTCATATCGATTGCGTGAGATGTTTTTTTTGTATTTTTCATTATGGGATACTACAAATGTTTGTGATGTATCTTGATAAATTCACTGATACCAATAAATAGAACTTATTGAGTGTTGTGTGATAATATCAGATAAAACAAAATAACATGATGTCAAATTTATTCACGAGAACACATCACAATTTTTTCCTACATCGTTGAGGACATCACAGTCATCTAAAGCCTTTAAGCTCCGAAAAAAGAAAAAGACCCACGGACAAACAACAGTACACAAAACACAACATAGAAAACTAAAGACTTAGCTAACTATTATCTATCTAATTTTCAATGAGAATTTTTCTTCGAAAAATGAAATTAACTAAATTAATTAAAATACGCAGCATTCTCTAATGTTAAAAGGGGACATATTACAAAAGTATTATTTACGAAGCAAACATGTTCAAATCTGTTTATGAAGCTCTAAACACTTATCGATAATTAATTCACTAGTATTCGACAAAGTACATTGTTCTAACTATGGATTTATTTTATCAATATACTGTCGATTGAGTTAACTTACAATTTCACTGTGAACATTCAGTAAAATTTGTTTTATCACTCAAAAACGAATTTCACATTTCAGGTATGATTATTCGAACGTACACAATTGTGTTACTGTTTCACTTAGTTGCAATCATTTATAATCAATACATATTATGCTTAATTTGTTCATTTTTAAATCATATATTTAATGTAGTGGACATTATTTTCATAAACCGCAAAAAACTTAATATTATTCTTATTATTTCTTATTATGTAAATGTCGTTAATACTGCAATTTTCTAAATGTATTATAAGTTAAGGACTTTGTTCCATATGCAACTGTGAGAAGAAAGAGGCAACCTAGAATGAAACAATATTTTGATAAGCGAGTTCCACATAGAAATTCATTATAATTCAGGGATTACTACAACGAGCTTCAGTAAAATAAAAGAGGATATAGAGGGAGCAGAACCGCACACGGAACCACTGACGGAACATAGTTCGCGTCCGGAAAGTGAAAGTATGTTAATTTATTTTTAGAAGCTTAAATCATACAATCTGATATATTTCCTCCGCTATTAAAGAGAGGCAAAAGATACCAAAGGGACATTCAAACTCATAATTCGAAAATAAACTGACAACGCCATGGCTAAAAAAGAATAAGCGATTCGATGGTAATTTATTTGCAATTCCTTCTGAATGATCTCGCTCATGCACTTAAAACTAGGTTAGTAATGCTAGATTTAAAATCTGCTGTTCTTTATAATAAATATTGTCTTTTTATTTCTTGATATAATTTCGCCAATTCTTATGGTATAATCCTACACATATTTCCGGCTATCGATACATCAGTTAAAATAAGACCTGTTACCGATTGCAAATTTTAATAATTGATGTGACTATCGTGTACTGCAGATTTGTGTATTCGTTTCCGATTGTCATTATGTTATAGTTATTAAACAAGCAAATCGGTATATGTCATTTAATCTGCGCGGCTCGGGTGACCCTATTTGATCCGAAAGACGCCGTAGGAGTGATATATAGCAATTTGATTTGCCTATAAATGTTTAAACACATGACACTATAAATTCTTGCCCTTTAGATCGATGTTCTTAGATTGTTTTTGTTGTTTGATGGCTGTCTTATTGACGTATAACACACATCTTCTACAATTTTTGTTCCGTTTAATGTTCTTTTAAATCGTTTTCTGAAAAACCATAACTGAAGAGGTTATTGAGCAAAGATTAATTGCTATACTTTCCCTCAAACTGATCGAAGAGAAATGTACCTAAGTTTATAGTACAAAGTAAACAGGGAAAAAACCTTTCATTATTCAATCTTTAACTCCCCACCCCCCTTTTCCCCCCACAATTTTTCATTGTATAAATTTTGAAGACATGTTCGCATCTAAACGAAGTCTGATTGATAACTTATATTTTTTCCTATTTTGGCACATACTTAGATATGAACTTCTTTAAATTCGATACCAAATAAGGATAATTAAAGGAATAAATATTTAAAACAAGTTCCATTGAGCACATACCTAATCCAAATCAGATTTCAATTAGATTTGTATTTAGATATCCTAAAATACATTTTTTTTTTGGCAGACATTTCAAAAAAATAATTATTTTGTTTAACTTTGAAACTCTGATTTAAGATTTACATTGTACCTAAAATAACATAAAATGTTCCCAGTTTAAGGAATGAGAAACTCTTTTTATTTCATTATTTGAAACTACGAAGTTTGTACAAAGTTGTTAATTGATCAACTATGTCGTAGTTGCATTAATTCGTTAAAAAATAATTTCGCCACGTTACGCTCGGCAGTATTTCTTCAATTTTTAAATTACGTCCGCTTTGGAAAAATCCTCGACCCGCCCCTAAAGCTAAGAGTCCATGTGAGCTTTGCATTATATCTGAGGTAGTTGTGCATTATCCAGATTATAGCACAGTAAGAGCAAAGAGATTTTGCCTATGTCATGTGTTAACATACAATAGATTTTTCAATAATATACAGCAGGTAAAGAACTGTGTAAACCATCTCAAACACTATGTTTATGTTACAAGACAAAACGGCATAGGAAACACAACTCTCTTATTTGTGAAACTAAAAAAATAAAAAATTGATGAATGATGATGTTCAAATTCTAGTCGCATAAATTTAAGCATATTAAACATGAGAACAATAAATCAGTGGCTCATAAATTTGATCCTTGCTGTTGAGACAAGATGCATGTTTGTCTATTCCAAATGTAACTAGATTGTCATCAGACAGCAAGGAATCTCAAGTTTTAAGAGACCATGTCAATAGGCATTGAGCTTCATAATATACAGTCATTGAAAGTAAAAACAAACTTAGCTGAAAGTGCTCTGAAACGATTTATCATATCATAAATTTTATATATATCTAGCAAGAAATTTGTTTTGCATGCACACGTATAAAAATTGCGGTTTTTATCCAACGAAATCATATTTTTGAACGTTGTTTTCAATTTAGACTTGTATATATATAAGTAAAATATACTTTCAGTCATCCACATCTACCTCTTGTATCTAAGGACACATGTTTCCTTAGTTAGGAGCACAAGGAGGTAAACATATGTGTAGGCATACTAGGATAAGAGTAAAAAGGGTAAAAGAGAGGCAGAAGATACCAAAGGGAAAGCCAAACTTATAAGTCGAAAAAGAACTGACAACGCCATAGCAAAAACGAAAAACGACCCAAAAACACAACATACAAAACTGAATACTGAGCAACACAAACCCCAACAAAGTCCTGAGGAATTTCAGGTGCTCAGGAAGAGTAAGCAGATCCTGCTCCACATGTTGAATCTGTCTTTTTGCTCATGTAAGTACAAACCCGGTGATAAGGATAATTTGGTAGATCGATTCGAGGAAAAGAGGACGAAATTGTGATAACGACAATTGGAACATATCTGTATTCATCTGTGAAACAGATATTCCATGATGTTGGCTACAAATTAGAAGAATACATAGAGAGCTTAAAAACAGTTCATCATATTCAGCGTATTTTATTTTTAAATAAAAAATTGTCTTTACTCTGTTACTATGAAATTTACTATGTTACTAGGGACTATTTACGTTGATATTCAATACATTTTGTTCATTTTATTTGTTTAAAACCGAATGTGTGCATTTTCTGTTTAATTTTATAATACAAGGTTCATATTTGAAAAATTGGGAATTACATGTTGCTACATAATTCTGTCTCATGAAAATGGGCAAAAAATCGTATTAAGCGGATTTAATTTTAACATGCAAAAAAGCAAATTTATGAATGATTTCCATTTTTGATGGAATAATCTTTCGTACCAATACTATCAACATTACGGGATATGGGACAACATAATTGTTGTCTGGATTTTTAAAAAGAATCGATTAAATATTATTCTTTTTTTAACAATTTTTAGAGTTCAAAAACCTAGCAATTTTAGGGTGTCATAGCAACGCTTCAAAAATATCAAATTGCTCAATATTGTGCAAATTCTGTTAAGGCAATAAGCTCTCTTAATGACATCAGGTTTAGAATAACATTTTTGTAGTACTTCTTGCCTGGCTTACTTTGAAAAATGCATATGTATGGTGCTATTTTGGCATGTATCTCAGGAAATGCAATGTAATGCCATGGAAAGCAGTAATATGATTAAACGCACTATTATAATTTTTCTGTGTAACATCCCATGCAACACATCATTAAAAACTAATTCTATAAGTGATATTCCATTCGAAGCGCGTCGCTTGCTGACGTTGACTCTTTAGAAGCGAATATTTATTAGTTGGTAAGAAGACTTTGTGAATACAATTACATGTATATTGGTTAACCTGATTTAATAGCGTAAGTAAAGTAAAAGCATATCTGCTCAATGGTGTACCCCACCTGAACAAGTAGAAAAAACGTGGTGTTCCTGAACATGTTTTACCAAACTTTCACAACTTATAATAAGAATCTCGTCCAAATATCGGTCAAATCACCGATGGAGGTATGACGATAACCTGATTGACTTCCATATTAAGCGGGTGGACACTTCTCCTTGTAATAGAATTTTGTTTGTGTTTATACACAGTATTGACCAGTATACTGTATTGCATTTTTAGTTCCATGAGTAGATGAAAACAAATTGAATTGAAATTATATCTACAAAGTTTTACTCCAACATCCTACCCTTTTGAATAACAACTTACTTTATACGATTTTTTTGTTTTGGTAAGTCAAATCCATTTGTAAACTGTCACAACTAATTAAGTTGGGTCAAAATAAGTTTTATTTCTCAACTCATACTCTTCGTGAACATACATAAGTGAATAGACCAAACCAAACATTATTGAATCAAGCGGACAAAGTGAAGAATTGCATATATTAAAAAGTGATTATATTTCAGAGACCACTGTAAGAAGTATTAACTCTATAGAAAATCAATGACACGAATTATAATGAATAAGATGACTATACCAAATGTTTCAAAACAAAATTAGGTCACGAACAAAGTATTCCAGTGAATCATTACGTTTTACACGTTTATGGATCTGTTCACTTACAACCCAGCTCCCTTGTTCTAACAGGGTGATCTGAGTCGGATCACCCCTACCAGATCACCCTACCCAGAGTTTCTTTGTTCTATATGCTTTCTTTTGTTCTGTAACATTTTGGCGGGAACGTCAAACACACAATAAAACTTAGAAATATTGATGCGGAATAAATTTCCAGTGTTTATGCGGGAATCGAACTCAATACCTTAAGCATATGAAGCCACAATTCATACCCCTACACCGGGACGACTAGATACAAACTTTCTGTTAACTTAACATATTTGAACACTAGTATCCGGGATCATAAATGGTATATACTATATAGTAGTATATAAAGTATATTATAATTACTGTATGGCATTCTGAACTAGATGTTATTAAGCGTAAATGTTTTTTCATATAGTCTAGAAGAGCTGGGATGTAAAATAGTTATCCCACTCGGACTTGGTGTGTCAGTGTAAGATCACCCTCCGGCCTCCGACCATCTGGCTGATCTTACACTTACACACCGCGTCTTCATGGGATAAAAATAAAATCACAAACTAAAATCGCAAAAGTAACTTTTACTTACAGTTACAATCCTAGAAACATATATAGCCATACTTTTTTTTATATAAATAATCATAACTTATATCAAGGACGATTTTTTGCTATGGAATTAACTTCAATGTACAGTCAAAGAATATAAAAGACAAAGAAGTGGTATGATTCGCAATGAGACAATTATCCACCAGAGAGATAATGACGTATATATTAACAACTAAAGGTCACCGTAAGTATTGGTTACCTTCTGTTTTCTGAAACAGATTGAAAAAACCTCTGATTTGATCTATAAGACTGTCTGATCTTTTTTGGTTTATAATACCTTCTGTTTACGAATGTTATCTGATTTGGAATATTTATAAAATTCTAATATCTCTAATTTCAACTTTTAAACATCAGCAAATATATAAAAAAAATCAAATGTTGTGTTTCAGATGATTCTACGAAATTGATTGCGAAAAACAAAAAGAAGGAAAAAGAAATCATTAAAGATGACACCAAAGAAAATGAAAGTACAATAAGAAGGAAACAAAAGCGTCTTAAATGTTGTTTATGTTATGTAGTTTGTTTTTTTGTGATGTTGACACCATATATAATTGCATATGTTTATTTTATCGTAAAACTTTTTGTTGGAAGGGAAAATGAAAATGTTGCATAAGAAGGTTTTACCAGTTTCATTGCACAAAAAACACATCCTACATTGTAATTTACATTTAAGGTATATATAACAATAGTGCGTCTAAGTCTGTTTATTTTTGTTTCCGTATGTTTAAGATTTATTATCGTTTACGTTCAATTTCTATGTAGCAACATTCTTGATATGGAATAAACACCTCCCAGTTGAAATGATATTCAAGAGCATGCTTTTCCTATTACGATTTCCTTGATAGAGGGATGCTGCTCACAAGGAAGCTATTGAACCATTGGTTCCAAATGTTGAAGTTGACGTTACCCCTTGGAAAGTTTTACAAACGCCATCAGGAGTTGGTTAACCTTTATGAAATATCTATGTCAACGGACACCATCACGAATTGGTTGATCTATACGATGTGTCTGAACTAACTAACGACATTTTTAACACGTTTTAAATTGTGGTTTAACATCTATGTGGTCTGTCTGCTAAGTACCGAACGTGACCTTTTCCCGAATATGACTATTTTGCCGAGTATGAATTTGCATTGCTATAAGACGTGTTTAGGTATTTATACATCCAACATTCGTGTATTTAGTTATGATGTTTCTTTTGTGATTTCGGTTGGATGTTGTGTTATGTCTTAACGTTTGTTGTTTGAATTCTGTTTTTTTTTCTGGTACATTTCACATATGTCTTATTTGTCAGTATTGTCGAGTTAATTTCCATTTTCCATGGATAAAGTATTGAGTTAGTCCAAATGATTATGAAATCGTCACAGCCTTAATTTAAAACAGCTTTTCAGTACCGTCATAATCATATGATAATTATTTGGACTAGTATTGTGGAAATTGTTAATTTTTGGATCTAGTTCCATTTAATTGTATGAATTTAAAGATAACATATGTCACAAAATGACGTCACAGTTTGTGGTGTCTTGTGCTGTCGTTAATGGAAGCTGTCCGTTGTTATTCAGTGGTTTACATGTTACTAATGTACTATTATATAATTTGTTTATGCGTTTCTCTGTGCTGAGTGTTCTTGCATTTGTTTATACTATATTCCTGTCACGTAGTGTTGTCATTTTAGCGATATTTGTTCACATTGCCATATATAAGCGAGTGTTTGGCTAGCCATAAAACCAGGTTTAACCCACTATTTTGTCTTAAAATGTCCTCTAATAAGTCAGGTATATGGCAGTTGTTATCAATAGTCCGTTTCTATGTATGTTGGCGTTTGTTTTTGTTGCACTTCAGGTTTTCTGTTGTTCCGTTGATTTCCTCTTATAGTTGATGTGTTTCCCTCGGTTTTAGTTCGTAACTCGGATTTGTTTTCTCTCAATCGATTCTTGACTTTTGAACAGCGGTATACTACTGTTGCCATTGTTTGTATACCACCATTTCGATCTAGTATTATCATACGCTTTGAGATCTCATTACTGACATTAGTAAATTTAAAGAACATTATATTTTGGTTGTCAATGGTTTAAGAGCCAGTCTTTGTATGCAATTAGAATAGTTTGAGACATGGCAACCCCCCCCCCCCCCCAAACCCACAGACCCCCCCCCCCCCCCCCCAACCTTACCATTTTCATTTCTGCGTGTCTAATAATTTGAGAATCCTCTTGATAACTTTTGATTAGAATGATTGCAAATTATACGGTTAGCTCCACTATAGGAGATAATTTCTAGTGCATGTCAACCAAATTATATTTTGAAATACCAGAACAGGAAAAGGAAACGAATGTTATAATTTTGCACCATTATACCTTTTGAACTTATATTTATGTAAACCTTGCACAGGTTTTTTGTTTGACATGCTTTCCCCCACTCCCAGATTCGTAGGCAGATTGGCACTTCATACGCCCTTCGCTTAAAAAAAATACGTTTACAGTCACTTAAGTAAGTGTTTCTCCCCAGTAATTGCATTTCATTAGAAGTTCGGACTAAATCTCAATTTGTTTGATCAAATAAAACTGTTCCACTGGCTAGAATTTGAACAAACTTCTGTTAAAGAACTACAGACAGGTAATCAAAGTTCAAATTGATTAAATAAAGCATTCTTGTCATCAATTATGAAACAATTAATAAAGAAAATGTGTTTAGACTTATTACCGGGTTTGAACTAACATGAGCAACATAACGGGTGCCACATGTGGATCAGGATCTGCTTACCCTCCTTGAGCACCTGATATCACCCCAGTGTTTTGTGGGTTCATTTTGCTCAATCTTTGGTTTTCTTTGTTGTATTTTGTGTACTATTGTTGTCTTTTTCTTTCTTAGTCATGGCGTTGTCAGTTTATTTTCGACTTATGAGTTGGAATGTCCTTTGACATCTTTTGGCCTCTCTTTTATCAAAGCTGCTTTTATTTAATTCTTTATATTCTGATGACCGATAATAAATAGTGAGGGTTTTAGATATAAAGCCCGTAGTTCGTCAGCGGCTTTCAATGTCCTATCCCATCAACCAATGAAATGACATTATTTCCATCTTGAGGTACAGATACTTGAAATAACCTCAGTCGTTCAGATTCCAAACCTGCAACTTTTTTTATTTTATGAGTTTGAAGTAATTTGAGTGGAAAATATATTCTCAACTATTCCTACTATGAAACCAAAAACATTAACAAAAATAAAGAACTCTTAGGTAAATCAAAAAAGGGGAAGTACATATAAGTAACAAATCTAATTGATCGACCCGACGTTGAACGATGTAGACCTCAACAGAATGCATGGATACTTTTCTATTGTTGAAGACCGGGCTGACCGTGATTATACAGATCTAACTGAATAGTATTGGAGATGAGAGGCTGCTAAAGCTCATAAATAATGGACTTATTTATAAAGGAATTCTAATGAGGAAAAGTCAGCACAATAATAGTTTAAGTACTCGACACAATGGATAAGCGTTAGTACGTTAAAAAGATATCATTAGCCCTCCATGTCAATGGTACCTTTTAAACGAACTAACGTTTGTTGTATCTCAAACACTTATTTTTGGAAATGAATTCAACAGTTTTATAAACGAAATAAAACATTTAATTCAATAAGACGATCTACATGTCTTTGGAGGACATGGACTTTTAGTACATTTTGTTATGTCTGATTCACTTTGATGATATTTTTGTATGTTCATCTTATTGTTTAGATTGTGTTTATTTTTTGTTTGTCGTCTTTGAAACCCTCCATTTGAACTATTTCCATTTTTCCTACTACGACCAATATCAACCAGTTCTATGTCTGGAACAACACCACATGTGGTATATTCGTGTGATATTTCAACAGGATGATGATCAATAGTTTGGTAGGGATGAATATCACCACTGTTTTCATTCTTAATGTCCGGGTCTGATTTTGATGTATCTGAATGGCTGATTTTAATGCTTGGAACTGGATCTAAATAGCCGTCGCTGTGAGTCGAAACAGTAAAAGAATAGCTATTAGAGGATATTATAGATTCAGTACGGGTTTTGACGATCGAAGCTAATTGTAACATGTCATCTTCATCAATGAAATCATATGACCCTAGCAGATTATGGTCACTTATATTCATATTTTCATTATTTTGTTCACGTACACTAATGTCAACAGCTTTACGACGTTTACGCGTTTTGCAGCAAAAACAAGCGACACAAACTACAATGCATATTGTAAATCCTGCTCCACACAAAGAATAAACAAGAATTTCTCTTTCCAGTAGTCCTGCAATAACATAAGATAATTATGATGCAGTTATTTTTGTTGTTTGAGATAAATTAAAGTTTTTTTTATGTCAAAGTTCAAATTAATCGAGATTAAATTGCAGATATTTTTCATCATTCACTAGTGATTACGAATCTTAGGTCAACTTTGCATTAGGGAGTTTTCACATTAGTTTCTTAAATATCTATAAATTAATCAATGAAGAATTTAAAGAAAAGTATATTAATAATGTCAAAACATCCGACGTATTTCTGTATTTTTCTTCATTCGGAACGCCAAAAACAAAAATGGAAAAAAAATCATAAGATGTTGTGCCTTTGTTTGTATTATCGTATATTAAAATGATTAACTACAGTAACTATTATTCAGACCTTTTTTTACTAGGTATTGTTTTGTCGTAAACCCTTTCTGTTCATTCTTCTATTTTTTATTATTTAGCCTACATATTACATTTACAAAATAAATAAAAAAACTTATAAATGTCATTCGTCCGAAAAACTATTCTAGATTTGCCGTTATCATGAACGCTCAAATCCGAAAACTGAATGATGTATAAACTCCGAAACATTCGCAGATCCTTATGACCAATCTGTAAGATCATCTGGCCCAATAAAATAACTAACAACGACCTGTACCGTAAAACTAATCAATGTTGTATTGAGACGAGATTAAAAGAAAGAGATGGCGATTGATTTGTCGTGTATTGAGGAAAGGAAATAAGGATATCTCCAAGATTACTTTGCGATGGACATCTGATGGTAGACGACAAAAAGGGAGACCAACAAAGACCTGGTGTATAAAGGTAGAAACTGAGCTGAAAGACCTTATAAAGACTTGGAAGGAGATTGCCTGAGGGAATTGAACCCTTAGTTTCTCAGTAATTTTTAATATCATAATTGTACAATTTAAAAAAGGATTGTTATAAACCATGTCAGTATCAAAGTATTGACTACCGAGCTGATGATATCCCCGGAGACTGATCCACCAGCAGCTTTATCAACCCAGTCATGTAAAAATGAAAACGACATTTTTGAAATGTCATGCGTTCAAAACGCATCTTTGGAATTACCTTTATCAGAAACACTCAAAGCCAAACATCTCAAAGAAACGGATGTATAAAAACTGAAACAGTTGAAGAGCCATGTGACCGAAAAGAACCTAAAAATAATACCCAAATTCATCTTAGGTCAATTTTGCAGTTGTTCATTTCTTTCCCCTCATAAGAGGAATAATATTTGCAGAGAACATTGAAACACAACTCACCTTGTTGACTTAGTTTAACAGTTTCTTGAGTCCGCTTTTTTCTGTTCTGGGATACAGTCGGTTCATGTTCTGATGTATTGATGAACGAGTAGGTCGAGGCTAAATCATTAGAAAAAAATTAGCAAAGATAAAACAAAGGTACAGTATAAAATAGAGGATATACAATTTAAAGGAGCATTGGGCTAAGAGATATAAATAAATACAAACAAATGTGAAATAACAATTCGCTTATATAATCCAGTTTGTTTCAAGTTTGTCTAAATAAGCTAAGAAATGTCGTTAATGGATTATTCACTTGCAACTGAATAATTCGACCTCATTGAATCCGTATTCATGTGAAATTCAATATAAACCCTAAGCAGGAGATGAGTTACGCATAATCTTAGCATGTTCAGCTATTTTAAGGAAAATAATGTCAACATTGAATGCATAACAAGAGTAAACCATTTGATTGATCGGTTTCGATCCACAAAGCTCATTCCTATACAGGTAAAAACGATGATTAACATAATTTTAACCTTACAATATGAAATAGACAGACCTAGAAAAAGTCAATTGCACAAATTTGCTATTTACTTATATCTATACTTATGTTTATATCAGCTGATTATATGACCGCCGGCATTTTTCTTTGGGTGTCATCCTGGTTTGCCCACATTTAATTGCAGGTTTATTAAAACATAGGGTGTTTTGTTGTTTTAACAATTAAGTTCATTTATGCAATATAGTCATATTTTTACATTCATGTCACCCTCTTTATTTACGTCTGTGCTATAAACTATACAGAATTAATCTTTCCTGCTGTCTTAAATGATAATATTCAGTTTTTCAATAAGCAAAAAATATTGGTTTTGATGCAGCTGAGTGTCATTGGATTTCTATACACTGCTCTTACATCCTGTGTATGAAATGAGGGACGGAGCCTTAAAAAAGGAACACGAAATTGATATTTAACAATTCCACCTTCCCAGTCTTGAAGAAATTTAAAGTTCGTTCCATTTTAAGATGTGTAAACGTTTTAAATACTCTAATAATAATAAAAAAACATTAAAGGGGCGCTAGCTACGAGATATATAAAAAATCTAAAGTATGATTTTTTAAAGTTCAATAGTTAATGAAAGTGAAACAAGTAGAATAATAATTCGCTTTACGCAGCCAGTATGGTTCAATTTTGTCAAATTAAGCTAAGCAACATTGATGATGAATTATTCACATGCAAGTGAATAATTCGACCTCATTGAATCCGTATTCATGTGAACTTCAATGTTACCCCATAGCTAGAGATGGATAACGCATGAATTGTGCGTGTTCGGTTATTTAAAAGAAAAGATAGACAACATTGAAAGTAAAACAAAGGTAAATCATTTGATTGAAACAACAATACATCAATCAATTAATTGTTTTTACAATTATAAGAAAGATTTGATTCACACAAATCATTCTTATAAAGGTAAAAACTATTGATTGATTAATAATTGGTGTTTGCTTTATTCCGCATGAGCGCTAAAAGGCTATATCGCGGCGAAAGCTAATTCAAATATCAGGTAAAAACGATGATTAACGTATATTTTTCACCTATAATATGAAATAAAACAGACCAAGAAATTTCAATTGCACAAGTTCGCTTTCTATTTATATCTATATGTATGTTTATATCGCTTATATGACCATTGGAGGGAGTTCAACTCGATGGTTAATTAGATGGCGTCTAGACTAAATAATCCCACGCAACGAAGCTATCTATAATCGAACCCTTGCCCTGTAAAGTGTTTATTCTAGACTTTTATTAATTTGGACACATGTTTTACATTGTTATAAATCAAATATGAGAATTTGTGTCAAATTGTTGAACTTATCTCTTAGCAAGATCCTTTGATGATATGATAATCGCTTTGATTAGTTTTTTTTTCAAACTTTGCTACTTTTCTTGTCCACGTTTTTTTTTTTTTTTTTTTTTTTTTCCGCAATGCAAACAAAGACAAACGCAACGAAGATTCAAATGTTATATGTAGTTTTAAACGTTTTGTTTATCATTGAAAAATATAAAAATACAATATTCAACTTCGAATATTTGATTGATACTGACGAACATTATTCATTCGGCTTGCGTACCAAACTATAAGCCTAGTATCTTACATTTAAATTGGTTTTTTTACCATTGTGTTTACTCAGCACATGACCGATACCTCTGCTAGTGGACATCCACCTCCAAAAATTACCCACTCCAATTAATCAACACTTCAAAAAGGATATGGAAATTGAAAATAGCCTCACTTTATGTAAATTTACTTATAATTATTCGTAACACGGAATTTCCTCGCTAAGGCATATACGGCCATTGTCATAATTATAATTGATGAATCGTTTAGATTTTTAATTTAAAAAAAGGATGTTTCAATGCTTTTACATTTAAAATTGATTTGGTCTAACTATTTTTGCACGATGACCTAGATTATCAGACTGCTATCTTTCATGACTTTGTATAGTCATAAGTTCGAAACATTTTGGACGTTTAGTCCCAAACGGTATCAACAAGCCAGTAGTCAACAATCCGGTTCGGTCGTAAAATGTCTAAGAATCGACTGTTCATAATTGCATTATTTATATTTACCAGTGCTGTTTTCGATTTGTTCTGAATATCCATTGTATGTGCTAGTTATAATCGAATTCACGGTGGTAACTGCAAAAAAAAACTCATTCTATAAAAACTGCGCTTCATGCTTTTTTTAAAAAATTATATCTCTGTAATTGTGTTTTTGTGTGTTTGTGTTTCGTTTATATATATATATTGTTTTTATTTGTTTGTTTGGGATGCCGAGAATATATGATAATTTTAAAAGTTTAGAATTTAAATTAAATAATTAACTAAACGTACACGATAGTTTGAAGAATCATCTAGGCACACTATGTGTGTTTTGAATAAAAAACAGTATCTAATAAAATAATGCTGCTGCAGTTTTCATCTTTGAGTAACAGAAGACTATCGATACTCCTCAGTTATCCTAGGGACCAGGCATGTTGATGTGTAAGTTTCAAGAGGAAGATCTAATTTATCTTGAATCCAATGAAACAGGAACTCAAATAGCAGTGTCATTAAATTAAAGTGTGCACACAAACCATTAGTACTGCAGATTCTCTGCTGATAATTGAAGTCGAATTTTTTGTATATGATGAATTTGGAATTTGAGATTGAATGAATGGATAGAATGGACAGAAAATTCGCTTTCCGTCTCAATTCCGATACCTTACTGACCTTATTGTGATATTTTAAAATACTATTTCAAAATATCATAAAAAAATGAATGAAAGATACAATACCAAACCCTGAAGCAACATGACTTCTAGAAGCATATCATGATTAACATAAGTTCGCAGGAACAGTATTTGAGCTTGGAAGTATTTTTTTTCTGTAACATAGACACAAATTAATGGAAAAAAGAATATGCGTCGTATCTGTACGTTTACCGATAGGGTAGTTTTCTTTATAAAAAAAAAGACAAAAAACAGAAAAATCCAAGGGACAATAACAAATCAAAGGTCGAAAACAAAACGACAAAATCATTCAAATGTAATAACTACCGCTTTCTACAAACAGGAAGTAATAAGGAGACATTAGCTAAAACAAACAAAAACCATGAAAAATATGTACTCATCATGGAGCATGTAAATGCAAAATACGCAAATTTTCATCTTAAAGTGTACATTAAAGAGATGCAAAGATTTAAAACCTTATATTTGTATTTGCTTTATAGTATTTTTTATCAAATAATTTAGGCGCTAAGACAAAATGTTTGTTCCCCTTGTCAACGTATCACTTTTTTTTCAAAGATGCGATTGTTCATGTATAGCCTTTAAGAGATATAAATATTCTAACATCATGTATTTCTATCCCTATACAATATGATAAAACTACTTTTAACAAGTATCATATAGTGACAGTTTATTTGCTCAAATTGTGATACTAGTATCTTTAAATGACACCAAACTCACCTTTGAATATTTCGGTACTTCCACCACTGCTCGTTTCTGTACTGGAATGATTGATATCAACACATCCATGTACGTTATTACACCTTTAACAACATAACATGTACATACACTATACTTAAAGATGAAAGATTTCCAAAAATTTAATGCACATATTTTTTCCTTTAAGGTAAAGTCAACCCTGATGAGCCAACTGATTTGTTTAATATTTTCTTATGTAGTGTTGTTGTTGTCCCGGTATTAGTTTGCGAACTCACATGCATGCTTAACCCCGACACACTCTTTCTGGAATATATAAGTGTGTAATTAGTGATTGACGTTGGTAACTGTGTGCCATTTTTGTTTTAGAATAAATCATTGGTTACCACTTTTCACGATGTTTCTCATTTTGTCAACGCCCCTCCCCGGACTAATGACACAAAACTTACTATGCAGTAGAGGTATTGGTTTTGTTGAAGATCGTACGGTCACTATATAAGTAACACATAGCAGCTAGGGTGATGGCGCATACTCTTAACACGAGAAAACATTGTCAACCGAGGCAAAGTCAATGTACTTGTTATTTAATTTATTTTATTGAATGTTCTGCCATTATTGTCTTTCAAATTCTAAATTGAAAGTAAATAACTTTGGCGTTATAGTTATTAGAAAAACAACAATAGTAAAGCATGGTGTATCTTTTATTTTGACAGTCTATGAAAAAGTTATGGGGATAAAATGTAGCACTTGAGCATTGTCTTCAAAATTATTGATGTTCAATTAATTTTCTTTTAAATTATCGATTTTGATTGGTCTGCACGAGAGGGTGACATTCAAAAATGTTCTCTCCCTGAGACACGGGATGTTATATAGCTGAAGGAGTGATAGAGCAGATTGTTACCCTGGAAAAAACATTATCAACCGAGGCGAAGCCAAGGTTGACAATGACTTTTCTAGGGGTATTCTGAACTATGTGTTATTTAATTTATTATACTGAATGTTCCATTATTACTGTCTATCAATCAGGCCTGGGGCCATTACATTGCAATGTAATGCATAACATTACAATTACTTTTTGATTCTTTCATTACAATTACAATTACAATTACAATTACATTTTTTCTCACATGTAATGCATTACATTACAATTACTTTGCCTGTGTAATGCATTACAGTACACATTACTTTTTCAGTATAAAAACTAAAAACATTTAAAAAACAGAATTTATAAGAAATTGATAAATATTACCAGGGTATATGCAGTATTTATACAGTGTCAGTGACACAAACTTCAAATACTTAAAACAAAAATAAATTATCATATAATTTTGTTTCTAACATTGATCACTTAATCATCAAGACATCATAAAGGGATTTCAAAGGGATATAATAAATGTGCCATTAAAGGATTATCTTGTTAAATGCCTAAGGGCTCTGTGAGGACAAACATAAGTTGAGAACATTTGATTGCAATAAAAACATTTTGATATTAATTAGGTGAAATAACAACCACAGTTTGGTGTAAAAAATGTTGATTGACATATTCAATCTTTCATTGAAATACATGTAAGGTGTGTATAGAATTATGAAAATTTCATCCATATTTTTTCCATTCATCTATTTAGTTTTGTTTAATTATTATTTTTAGAAGATTTTTTAAGGGCAAACTATCTATAATGATTTAATACATTAATTAACTGTGACAATAATTTTATTCAATACTTTCTTTTGTTTTTGCTAATATTTTATTTTTATTTTACTATATTCTTCAATTTTATGTATTTTACCAATTTGTAATGAAAAGTAATGTACAGTAATGGAGGCATTACATTGATTTTTAACTAAAGTAATCATTACATTACATGTAATTGTAATGCAGAAAATGTGCATTACAAATTACTTTGCATTACATCAAAAAAATGTAATATTACAATGCATTACAATTACAAATTACCATAACCCAATGCCTGCTATCAAGATTCAAATTCAAAGTTATCAACTTTGACATCTCGTAATGACAAAAATCCGTATCTAATAAAGCACACAATTGACCAAGCGTGAGGGGTAATAGCATATTTGCCATGGGATAGAATAAAAGGTAAAATAACAAACTTACCGAACTTCAATGAAAATTCAACACGGAAAGTCCTTTATCACATGGCAAAATCAAAAGCTCAAACACATCAAACGAATTGAAAACAACTTGTTAATTATCTCCTCCGTATTAACCAATTAAAATCTGGCATTTTGACATGATGTATAACAAAGTATATTATATCACTCGTATAAGCCAATCAAAATCTGGCATTTTAATGTGAAGTATAATTAATGTTACTGTAACGTTACAATCATTCCACATCTCCTAATGTTTATAACGAAATTATATGTCAATAAGTTACAATTTGAATTTGGTGGATAAATTTTTAAATAATTACATTCCCTGACAGAGCTTTAAAAGTCTATTTTCCAATAGGTACAACAAAGATAGAACAAAGTTGGCATAATTGGTAAATAAATATCTAAATTTGACAAACGAACTGTTGAACTGAAATAACAAGATGTGATATGATTGCCATCAACCAACGACAACCACTAAGTTACAGTTTCTTGGATTTTGACAGGCGTATACATACTGTGGCGGGTTTTAACAGGTTTAGATAACTTCAGACACAAATGGCTGATCATTTAGTCTCTTAAAGCTAGTTCAAACGCAATTACAACTAATAATAATTCATGTCCCCTAGATAAAAATATCAATCAGAACATATCCTATTAATTTTGTATACAGACGTCATAAACCAAACAAAACAACATTACCTTGTGAAACGATAATGCCATCACTTTAGAACTGGTCTAAATGCAGACAAAGAATAAATTAATGTTACAATATCCTTTCACAAGGTGCATAGAAAATTGAAATATTTACACCAATGTTACACTGTAGATTTAATTCAGGATCGAAAATAAAACTATCGGAGTAATAACATAAGATTTTCTGTAATTTATCATATTTGATTGCCGAAAATGTATTAAGGCATGTAAAAAAGAAAAACGTTCGCGCCATTATCGAAAGGTTTAAATAAAATGTTATCTCGTATCTAAGTCATGCCGGGGAGGTAAAAACTAATCTAGTACGATATTTTACTTTTGTTTCTAACAGGTTACGATATACTTGTAACAGTAAAAGCTTATTTTAAAATATAAACCAATTAATGGCATGTGCATAAAGCTGGTTATTTTTGGGGAAAAAGAAACACTTGTCACTTTCTAAACAATAAATAAGAATGTATTCGATTAGAACAATACATAAATTGATTTGTTCATAGTTTTACATATTAATGCATCTACATATATGTACCTGTTTCGTTTACACGAACATCTTTTTATGCATTTCCGACCGTATCTTCCTATAGGACACTTCTTGCATGGTTCTCCGTCCACTGATATGAATCCTGGACTACATTCTAAAAAATAACGGGATGAGACATGTTAGTTCTATTGCGTTCAATATATCTAGCAGTATTGAAGTAAAAGTAAAAGGAGAAAAGAAAAATAATTATCAAACTGCAACAAATCTTTAAATTTGCTTTAAAAGAGCAAGATATGTTATTTCAGAAAATTTCAATTTTATAAATATAGAGTATAAAAATAAAGAAAACAATTTACAGAAAATTTAAAGATTGAATAACATGAACCCTTCAAAAAGACGGGATGGAATCTTGTATCCCGGGAAGGGTAAGCAATTCCTGTTCCGCTAGTGGCAACCATCGTGTTGCATGTTTTAAGCAAACATTATGTGATAAGTTGCATTTGTTGATGTCATTTAACGAGGAAATTTAGACGGAGTTGTATTGATGATATATTTACAAGTATTCGACAAGCTCTGCATTTTATAGCTTATTATCATCCATTCAGAATATTCTTCTGAATATAAATCGTTATTGACTAAAAGCAAATTAACAATGGAAAGGCCAAAACAATATTTGAAGGATTACAATTTTCTATTATAAACCCCTGTACAGAGCTTAATTTATAAATCACTTGCGTTTTTATCTCTACTAATTTCAGTAAACTTTTTTATGGATAAGTTTTTCAGTAGACATGTCATTTATTTGCTCTCTGTTTGATTGTTTGTTTGTGTTTGAGATAAATGTGTTCACTATCTTTCATTTATTGTCCCGATAAACAAACTCACAGAGTTTTAAATCACACTGAATTAATTTAACCTATATCCTACTTGACCAGGTTCAAGTAGTGTATAAGGGTACAAAGTTCCTTCGAAAAATGTGGAAAGAGTGAATCGGTTTATACTTAACAACAAAATTATTTTCATTTACCTGTGTATAATATGACGCAGGTTTCTTCAAAAGTGATGATTTTCTAAAAATTGTTTGACATTTCATAGTGATATCATACTTTAACTTTGTTTAAACCTGTTTATTTACTTTTGACTTTAATTATTTATCCCTTGTAATTTTTTTTTATTAACTGTGTATTTGCATTCAGGTGTCGCAAGTCAAATTTATTCGTTCATTGTGTGTTAATTTACGTTTTTTGATTGAGTTAAGCCTTCCAATTGATATTTTATAGTCTGTTTTTCTATGTTGTGATGTTATCCTATTGTTTCAGAAAAGGGAGAAGGTTTGGTACCATTAAAATGTTAAACTGTTTGCACCTGTCCTAAGTCAGGAATCTGATTACAATTGTTGTCGTCTGTTTATGTAGTTCATACGTGTTTCTCGTTTCTCGTTTTTATATAGATTAGACCGTTTGTTTTTCCGTTTGAATGGTTTTACACTTGTAATTTTTTGGGGCCCTTTATAGCTTGCTGCTCGGTGTGAGCCAATGCTCCGTGTCCAAGGCCGTACATTGACCTATAATGGTTTACTTTTATAAATTGTAACTTGGATGGAGAGTTGTCTCATTGGCACTCATACCACATCTTCCTATATCTATTAAAGTCGTTTCTAAAAAAAAAAGGACAAAGTGGCTTGTTATAAAGTAAAGTGAATACATTTGGGACTGTCTGATCGTTACTTTCTGTCTTTATATATATATATATATATATAACCAATCTAAAAGGGTACAACATCACCAAAAAATAACAATAAAATGACCAAATGTAACTATAAATATTTCGGATAACAGATATCCTTCATCAGTATGATCACGATGTAAAATGAATCATATCAAACTATTCTGATTATAAATCTATAACAATCTTGAATTCTATACAGTAAAACAGGTAAAACAGTTTTACCCGAACATCATATATAGAGACGCTAGTATAATTCAAAAATTTCCAAAACACGACGCAAAGATATACCTGAAATATAAATACAGATTTGCCATATGAACTGGAACAACCCTAAAATTCCAAAATGACGACAGTTAAGATGTTACAACAACTGCGTGAAAATACATTCCCAATTAACAGCACTGACGGATCTAAGCTGGTATAATTTTTCAAATTTGACAACGGTAGAGTAATTAAAACAGAGGCTGAGTTTAGATTTAGATTATTACTTTTCTAATCATTATCAAACTGCTATTTATTTGGGAATGTTTAAATACGCAGCCTCTGTTTTAATTACTCTACCGTTGTCAAATTTGAAAAATTGTACCACCTTAGATCCGTCAGTGCTGTTTGTTGGGAATGTAAATATCAGTCCAACAATGTTAGATCTGTAAATTTGCGTTTGCAAATTTTTTTTCTTCCCTCGCCGGGATTCGAACTCATGCTACTGAGATATCGTGGCACCAAATCGCATTGCATTGTGACTGACGCGCTAGACCACTCGACCACCTAGAGACTTTGTAGAGCTTAGGTGGTCGAGTGGTCTAGCGCGTCGGGCACAGTGCAACGCAATGTGGTGGCACAATATCTCAGTAGCATGAGTTCGAATCCTGTGAAATATTACGTCGCCAATAACTGTCGATTCGCCTTCGTGAACTAGATAGCCGCATAATGCTTATAAAATGTATAAGCCTTTAAATAATGAACCAACACAATCTTACCAGAATTAACGACTAGTTGTGCTATATATATTCATAACGTAAAAATGTTTAACAATTAACATTCTTTTTCCATACCCTGACATTGCTTATCTTTTATACCACAGAGATGTGACATCCAAATCTCGTGAAAATGGGATTTTGTTGTTAAAACAGACCTAATATTTGAACTCTTTATGTCATTACTATGACACAGTCAGAAAGATTTTTTTCTCCGAGGTTCTGCTATTGTTGGTGTCAATACCCCTTAATTCATTTTCGTCAATTTTGAATGATAGATAACAAATGTTTAAATTGAATTCAGTAAACTTCATAGTAGTATACACACACACAGTACTCTTGCCAGAAGTGAAAATGTTTAACTTAGGAACATAGATATAATCATAATTTTATAATTTCCATTACAGTAAATACTGGTTTAAGCGTTATGCAAAGTTATTCACTTTACATTTATTTTGGAAATACATTGTATTTGGTATTACATTTTATGCGATTTAATATCGAGATAGTATGGCAAAGATTTAAGTAATTTTTATTGTATAAAACATTTGGAATTAAAAGATTTTCATCGAAATGATTCAGTTAATTTTACATAGCGTTTTACGCATTAATTTGTATAAAAAGTTTTGTAAAGCTGTTTGACTTGATAAAATAGAGATTTGGACAAATAGTATTTGGAAAGTTAAGTTTTTCATAGGGTTATGTCCCCTGATATAGTTCATTTTTGAAATTCTAAATTTAGTATTAATTGAGACTGCTATTTTATTGTGTAATTTTTGTAAGCACTTTGATTACTGATTTCAAAGAACAAACATCTTTATTTACTAGAACTTTCTCTCTGTTTTATACAAGGAGCATAAAAGTCATCATACATAGCAGAAAATTAAAGTTAGTATGATATTTTGTGGTAGGACTGACAGGACCAAGGCTAGTCCCCAAACAAGGAAGAAGATATAATCAGTAGCGTACAAATGCCAGCAAATACCAGCATCACAAAAATAGATATCTTCTTCAGAATGTAATGAAGCAGTACTAGTAGTTCAACAATCAGCTCAATCAACAGCTTCAGCGTCAACAGCTCCTGCATTATCAAGAGCAACTACATTAACTGTGACCACAACAACAACATCCATTCCATCAACTGCACCAACAACATCCACAGCATCAACACTGCCGTAGTGCAAGTCATAACAGAAGTAAGTGTAAATATGCCGCCAGGGATAAATTTAAACGCTTATGAAGGCAAATCATTTGCAGCATGGTGGGGATATTTTATCCGATGAACACTCATACAAAAACTGTTTGAACAGCTTCAGTGTACTTCATTTCCTTTTCTCATGGGAAATGGTATACCAAAGCAATGATTCAAATCGCCACACTTAATGAAACTGTACAAAATTCATTTCAAGGGTTAAAGGGTGAATTTTTCAAAATCACAAGGGTTGTTTGATGTTAATATCCTACAATTAAAGGAAGGCCAAAATAAAAGAGTGGGTGAATTTATGGCAACTTTACAAGAAAAAAGTATAGGTCCCAACATTCCAGATTATATAAAAATAGTGTTTACCACACAAAGTTTTAGATGGGAGATAGGGAAAACAGTCTATAACACATCCCCAAAGCCAGAAACTTTAGAACAATTAAGAGAAATTGCAGAAATTGCAGAAAAATCAGAGCAGCAGCTATCACCACCATCCCCCATTATCGCCAACACAGTTGACACTATAGAAGAAGCTAAAATGCAAGAGCCTTTGAAGGAAATTGAAAGACTCCGTATATCAATAGCCATGACATGACCAAATCAGCCTCCACAAAATAAAAACCGCTACAAGCCAAGACATAACTACCAACAAGGAACTGTGAATCAACATGAACCTGCCTTTGTACCCCAGTAACACTGCTTTCTATAAAATCATCAAGTGTTGAACGAACAACAATACAGCCAACCCATGCCAACGACAGTACCGATTCATTATCAACAGAAACAGAAACAGAAACATGATGATGGATCATTATCAAATTGTGGTATGTTTTGTATGTTTTGTGGTTCTAATTGCCCAACATGAAATAAACAATGTTATAAATCATAAAATAGGGCATTATAGTCGTAAATGCAGAAGTACAAAAATATGGTCAAAACCATCCTTCTCGTCGTAAGTGATTTGCGCCTATCCATAGTCAACTGTCAAAGGATAGGCACAGAGGTAGAAATTCTTTGCAGAGGTGTATTTGGTATAACCTTTGCAGAAAAATTCTTCGATTATTGATATGAATGGCCGAAAAACACACACATTGATTGATACTAATGCAGAAATCACTTGCTGTAGTTTTGAATTTTATAGAAAATTAGCCCTTTCTGACAAACTTTCTAAACCAGATATTCCATCAATCAAAGGTGTAATTGGACGCAGTTCACAAGTGCTAAGAAGTTAATCTACACATTTCATTTAAATGTGCTTTTTCAAACTATAATTTTTATGTTTTAGATGGGCTTTATTTTTCATTTGTGGGGCCCTTTATAGCTTACTGTTCGGTGTGAGCCAAGGCTCCGTGTTGAAGACCGTACTTTGACCTATAATGGTTTTTCGTTTAAAAATTGTGACCTGGATGGAGAGTTTGCTCATTGGCCACATCTTCTTATATCTATTTATCATTCTTTTAAAGTCGGTCGGGGTTTTGTTTTACACGAGAATAATATTAATATTGATTTTTCTAGAAGTGTTTTATAGGTGCCAGATAAAGAAAATTTAGATGTACCCAAAGTATATATGATACAGACTACTAGTACTGGTCTTGATAGAACATATCACCCTGTCACAGTTATTCATTATGTGAAATACATGTTGGTGTCAAAATTTCTAAAAGAAATTTAGGAGAAATAGTTCTTTTAGAACCAGTAAGTAATTTAGTGGATTACAATCTTACGAGTGCTAAATGTTTGGTCAAAATTAACAAGAAAAGAGCGGTCATAAGATTGATGAATCCTACAAATCAGGAAATACATATTCCCGCAACAAAAGTGCTAGCTTCTCTATTAGACATTTACTTTAATTGCATTCATAATTTGTATAAAAACGAGCCATCTGTAGCTAGTTTACATCAAACTAATCAAGTCAAAAAGCTTATAGCGTTTGATTTCAGCAGTTCTGATTTAAATGTTGAGCAGAGACAATAAATGCAGACATTTTAGCTCATATAGAGATATTTTTGCTACTAATTTATCCATGTCCCTACAGGAGAAAACAGGTTCGCTAATTTTTGGGAATGTGCAATTATTATCGACGGTTTGTTGATTCATTTTCAAATATTTCCACTCCTGTGAATGGGTTGTTAAAGAAGGAAAGGGCACTAAATTTCAAATGGAATAAGGCATGTCTGTAAGCGTTTAGCTAGAGGTAAAGGGGAGGGTTGAGATCTCACAAAACATGTTAAAGCCCGTCGCATTTTTTTCTCCTGTCCCAAGTCATGAGCCTCTGGTCTTGATTAGTCTTGTAAATTTTTTTAATTTTAGTTACTTTATATGTTTTGGAGTTTAGTGTGACGTCCATTTTCACTGAACTATTACCCCTTTTATTTAAGGGTTAGCTGAATACCAATTGGTGGACTTCGGCTGTTTTCCACATTTTAGTCGGGTTGTTGTGTCTTTGGCACATTTCCCATTTCCATTCCCAATTTTATTTGACAATTCAAAACATGCTTTATTAACATCTTCTGTCCTAGCATACCCCGACATGAATAGACCCTTTATGCTGACTTGTGATGCTTCGAATTCAGCTATAGGTTTTGTTTTAAGTCAAGAGAAAATAACGTGTTATTGCTTTTGGAGATGAAAGTTTATCCAAAACAGAACAAGCTTAGAGTTGAAAAGAATGTTATTCAGTAGTTCAATGTGTGAAAACATTTACAAATTGTCTTGCTACAGGGAAATTCACTTTGTTTACTTATCACAAAGCTTTGACATATCTCATGAATCTGGGGACAGATACGGATAAACTGACAAGATTGCCAATGGATTTGCAACATTATAAATTTTAGATTTATCTTAGAAAAAATCGTAAAAATATTGAACTCCGAGGAACATTCAAAACGGAAAGTCCCAAATCAAATTGCGAAATCAAAAGCTCAAACACATCAAACGAATGGAAAACAACTGTCAAATCCCTAAAGGATGTAACAATCTAGTAGCCGATGCTCTCGGTTGATGTTCATATACTGAACAGCCTGACGATGAAAATGAAGTGGGAGCTGTAAAAGGTATGTGAAGTGAATACGGGAACAGAAGTTAATGGCATGCATAGGACTTATAAGAGTATCCACTCATTTATGATGATTACACTATGGTTGCTCCATTAGATCCAGTTATTGCCAGACCAGAATTGTCAAACCTTCCTGCGATTGCAAATTTGCAACATAAATGTCCTGATTTTGGAGATATTTATAGATTTCTTACTGAAAGTATTCTACCTGCAGACAATGATCAGACTTCAAAGGTAAACAAAAATCTGCTCCGAAAAGGGTCAGAGGTGATAATGTTGAAAAGTGGATAAAACAGTTATGTCTCCTAAAATTATAAGCTCTAAGAGACGATGATCTTTTAAGTTGTCATGACAGTTTCAAAAATTTCAAAAACACCAAAAGTGAAATACGACTAAGGCTATCTATGCCTTGGTTGTAATTTTTAAAAATAACTAATTCTCAATAGACTACATTCAGTATATGTATATATATATATATAAATATATATATATATAGATATATATATAAGTCTATTGGAAACAACCAACAAGCAAATTTAATACTTTACGGATCGTTTAATGACGATACGGCACAGACCAACAATATGTAGGTTTCATTCTGAAACAAATTTCAATGTTGAAAGTGTCAAGAAACTAAGGTAGAAAATTGTACAATTGTATCATTCTTACAAGATCACAGTGAGAACAAAATATTTACTATATATGACAAATTGATGTAGTTGACATGCAATACCATGATCAATAAATAACTGCAAATACTAGTATTAGATTTGTATCTTTCAGCTGTTGTTGATGCGGGCGCAACTGATGAGTGTCATGTTGTGCATAAGAGGACAACAGACTTAAGGAGTGATCATTCTTCTACGTTACTTGAACAAGGATTTGCTGTCGTGCAAGTATAATAAAAACTTTAGAAATAACTCGACGTCAGTTAAAACAATACATTCGTTATTAATACTTTTTTACAATTTCTTATTGGAAATTATTTTTAATGCCTCTATCAAACATGAGGTAAATTTTGTCAATATGACTTACAGCGCTGTTTCGTCTTTATTGACAAAGCAAAATACAATAAGAATTATACTCTAGCAAAGGCCTAGGACTACTTATAGAAATCTTAAAAGTATCTAGCTTACCTATGCAAAGTCCATCCTTTAGCTCCGAGTTGTTACAACAAAATGGCACATTCCGTTCTCTACATAAAAATTAAAATGAAAATAAATCTCAAAATGATACTTAATTTAAACCGGTCAGCTGGACTGGCAAAATTATATCTATCGTTCTAAATCTATATAGATTCTGAAAATTATTGCTTTTACTATTGAAATCACTATTGGATAAGACCTTTTAATCACTATAAATAAAGAATACAAATGTTATTAAAATTACCCCATATATTTATGACAGTAGCTGCATGTAGTCAGTTTCGAAAGCAATAAATTCCATAACAAAATGATTATGCAGTTACGTCCTTTCATTGCACGTTACTTTTGCTATATGAATGATCACATATAAACTGCGGAAGTATGTTCTACTTGAAACATATATTGTTTCCGATATTGTGATTGTCGGCACCAATCAATTATGCATATCATATTATAACATTTTACCTAAAACATTCTGAGGTCAAATTTGTCTAATATATAATCATATAAACTGAAAAATAAATCAAAAGGGTTATAATGTTGATTTAGAAATTTTGGCATGAACTTATTGTTTGCGATCGTTGAGCAGTAACAAGCATGCGAGATTTTATTTATTATTGCAAAATCTATTCTGTCGCAATTTTCGGATTAGCGAAAAAAGCTAAATTTACAGTACCTTTTTCATTGTGATTTTTGTTTTTTCGAGTTTTGGCTTTTTTTCATATATATACCTGAACAGACAGTTCAAAACTCATAAGTCGGAAAAAACCACAACGCCATGGCAAAAAAAAAAGAAAAAAAAGGAAAGACGAAAAAGATAAACAAGTCCGCAAATAATTACACGAAAACTATAAACTTGGTAACGCTTCATGTACCACAAGATTACCTTGTTTGGTTTAATTATTCTATCAACACCTGATTGTTGAAAAGAAAAATAACAAACAATACACCTGAACATCTTGTAGTACCTATATAAAAAAAGTTACTGGGTTTTTCAGTAATTATTATCATTGGATTACAAATATTTTGACTTGTAGTTTCAGACAGAAAAGAAATTAGAAAATTGACAAAATCAGATTCAAGATGTGACAAACAATGCACCTGAACATCTTGCGTTGCCTATATAAAAATAAGGAGATGTGGTACAATTGTCAATGAGAAAACTATTTACCAGAGTTCCAAATGAAGATGATGTTAGCAATTATAGGCGACCATGCGGCCTTCAACAATGCGAAAACCCCATAACATTTAGTCTGCTTTAAATTCAGGACCAATTTGATATAAAGTTGTAAGCAATGTAAATAAAACAGGTGAGTAAATATTGTAGTGGGTTTATTACATGTTGACATTTGATTAGAACTGCACACATTTACTGTTACTGTACAGTATCAGGTAAAAGAAATTAAAATGACAGACAAGGAAAATATGTATGGAAGAAAATACATACCAGGCGTCCCACTAATACCAAGTTAACAGAAAAAGTTATATGACTTTACAAAACAGGGAGGTCCTCTTTTTCACAAATATGACGACATTGTGAAATTTCGCTCAATATTGAAGAGAAGATTGTTCAAAAGTACCGAATTGACGGGACGTTGTCGCCTGTGAAAAAAACGTTCTGGACCTGAGAGAATAAGGAGTTCCAACGAAATAGTACAAACGGTACAATATCATAAATCATGGAAGCTGTCTGTTTTTCTTTCCAAAAAACATAAGCGATTGTTAGTTGGTGGTATTACAACACGAGAAAACGAACCAAGTGCATCAACAATATCAAAAATTTTGAATCACGACTTAAAAATGTCATTTGAAAAGCTGAAAATTTGTGCTAGAGAGTCCCTAGATGCCTATGTAGAAGTATATTTAAATGAAAACGTTGACAATATAGGTACAAAAAAAACCATATACGCTTCATTTGTTTGATGAATCATCTGTGGTCAAAACTTCTGGAAATAGACTATATGGACATTCACTTTAGGTGAAAAGGTAATTGAAGTTCAGAGGTATGCATCCAATGTAACTTAAACGATTAATTTACTTCATGGACCTTTTGGAATTGAACATTTTGATATAATTGATGGACTATCAAACGGACTCGTTATGCTAGACTGTTTAATGCATTCCAAGCAGTAGATATTGAACAGATATATCATGTTATGGAGGGGTATTTGCAAAAATTACCCGTCAAGGGACTGTGAAATTTCCCGAGTTGTAAGGCGAGGGAAATTTGGTCCTAAGACTTGTATTTTTCCCAAATACCCCACCATAACATGATATATCTGTTTAATTACACCGAATAGATTTTGTTTGAAACTCTCTGTACAGGTGAAAGGAAATTTTTTTTTACTAGTAAGCTGTAATTCATAAACATGTTTATCCATAATTTTGAGGATAAGTAGATATTATCATAGAACCGCGGGAATTATATATGTACTTATACGCGTCAGCGCGCTTTCTTTATGTAACGTCATATCCGAATAATTTTGGCGGTAAGAAGCTCGCGAGGGTAAAAAAGGAATATCCAAAATGACAAATACCACGGCATAGCGAGGAAATTGAGGCATATACACCGGCAGTGGTGAAAAACAGGCAAATTCGTTTTAAATGAGGAAAAAATGTGTGAATATGCGAAAAATACACTGGCTACCAACCAATCAAATTCTGGCATTCTTATATAAGGTGTAATAAATATGGAAATGCATTTCTACAGGCCGAAGATACCGTTATCATTGAAAGTTGCGGTTTTCACCGTGGCCAGTTTGTTAAGGGTCATATGAGGATTTTGTGTAATCAACATATTGTCGAACATTTGTATCATGATGCAACCATCATACCATCCAGACCTGTACCCGTGCGAAAACTGTTTCAAGATTATGAAGGATTTTACGACGCCACACCAGTTTGCCTCATGAGATTGTTTCAAACTTGTAAAGTATTTTTACATAGCAATACCAGATTTGCTTTGAATTTAACTGAAATAGCAATATGCAATGAACTATGCAGAATATCACCTTCAGAGGCCCATTGTACGCGGTTTTCTACATTTATATAACAAAGATAGTACTAACTACTATCTTATTAAAAGCAATTTGCGAATTTTGTACTTAACATATCTCAGCTGAATAATTTGGATAATGTGTCCCGTCTATCAAAAAAATTTAACAAGATGTGCGTATGTTGTCTTTTATATAAAGGATACTCATACAATTATTAGATAAGTATACAAAACAATCTGATTTTGTGCTACGTGAAGCGTTACCAACTGCATTTGTAAAGAGCAAATTATCAAAATGATTAGATAAGTGTACCAAGCTAGATATGTGAAGTGTAACCAAATAAAATTGTAAAGAAAGAATCAACAAACAATAGTAAATTATTAGTCCAGTAGTTATGTTTGTAGTTTTTTTATAAGAGTACTACTAAGACTTGTCACACTAACTTTTAAATGACTGTAATGGTGTTATATTTTATGTCTAGTCTATATCTGCCTATTAGACAACCGGAAAAATTAAATGCATTTAAATACGTAAATAACAAATGTCGATGTAGATAAATATTAGATTGGTTAAACACGAAAATTATATGAATAGTAAGCAAATTAATTAAAGTCCAATGAGGTTTAAATCTGTAAGAAGGAAAAGGAACTGGCTGAGACATTAAAAAAAATCTGAAGTCTATATATTAAAACTGAAAAAAAAACGATAAATGATCTTATACAATCTAGAAACATAGAGGTTATGAATCACCAGTGAATTTATAAAAAAATGATACAAACACTGATGATAAATTCATAGACATGGAAAAAAAGAATGATAACGTCGGTAAACTAAAACTTAAAATTGACAAGTAAAGATAGTGTTAGGAAAAAATATTATTATAAATTATAACATTAATGGTACATGTTCATGTTGTGGTGAATACTGTTCAATTAAGTCTAAAAATATAAACTTAATTCATCACGAAAACTTGATTGGTAGTGACTCGACTAATAAATAGTCAATTAGAGAACAACGTGATGTCAATTAGGCAAACTTACCGACAAATGATGATAATTACTGTTTTTCTTGAACAACGGGAAGATGAACAAACCTCCGTTTGAAAAAACCAACTGATCACGAAGAGGGCGCCGTAAAAGGACGCAAAAGAGAAAACAGGGTCCTTTAAACCCATCGAGTATTGTACACCCCTCCCCAACTATAGTACATCCAAGTCAAATCTTTCTGAATCCATCTCCATATCAACATTTAACATCGAGAACTTTAACACCAAAGACACATATTAATCATCATTACTCCGTACAGAAGATAATATTGCTATACACCAGCAGTCTCCATTTACATTTCAAAAGGCTGAAATAGAAGATTATATGAGTGAATAAAAATGGCATAGAGAACATCCAATGAGTTAATAGGAACAGGACTTCATGTTTATAATGGTGTAAATCCCAAGATAAACGTCAAGTTATCATGCTTATATAATTGAAACAGTAGTACTAAAAGCGATTCTCAGGAGCGAAATCAATATTATACGAAAGTTTTGAAAAACATACAAATTCTTCCAGATAAACATCAAATTCAACAGTATACATTCTCTCTGATAAACTACCAATTGAGTCTACAATACACTATCAAATATTGATCAGATTCGGCAGTATCCAGGAAAATGACTGTATTGAAAAGGAAATTTGCATTCGTCAGACCCTTCGAAAAGTTGGTTTCTCTATGCAAAGAAATTACTAGACCAGTATGATTTTACATCCATGTTTGCCCTTATCAATAACATGTCATCTTCATCTTTATGGAAAAAAAGTAGTTTGCACTGTTCATAATTCCTTTCACGGATGTAAGCGATCCCATTCAATAGGAAGACATACCTCCCCAAAACATCATCCAGTACACCATTATTCTCGGAGTCATGCGAAAACAAGACATTTAAGTCGTAATCTCTCTTCTGACTTTAGCCTTTATTATCATTGACAAGCATAATGGTTGTTTCGCCACTGATAATTATCGACAACCAATGATTTTGGAATGTCCAGCGATACTTTTACCTAAAACAGCTTTACTGGATAAAATGTTGTTTTCTTTTAAACAAATATACCTATATTCAGTTCTGCAAGGCATATCACACCCTGTCATGGCGTTACATTTTACTGGATATGTGAGTTTTCAATAACTTTTTATACTCACTTGACATCCCTTTTTTTCGAGGTAAATTGTGTATGTTCCTCCGCTCAGTACTATTACTCCAATCGAGTTTTCTATTTTGTTGCTCGATAATCCATCATTTTTCAAAATTACGAAGATGGACGAGTTTCTAATTTATAAAACTTTTTGCTCCTTGATGAGTACCTTATTTACGGGAGCCACATGTACAGCAGGATCTGCCTTCCCTTCCGGAGCACCCCTCAGATTTTGCGTGGTTTGTGTTGCTTAGTCTTTACTTCTCTATGTTATGTTTTGTACTATTGTTAGTCTTTAACAGTTGTTTTTTTTTTCTTTCAAAGCCATGGCGTCGTCAGTTTATTTTAGACTTGCATGAATGAGTTTGAATATCCATTTGAAATATATCGCCTCTCTTTTAGGAAGATGTTGAGCTCCTCAATTATAGTCAAAGAAGGGCCATGGCATCGCAATTTTACGACTTAATCATTGCAAAGTACTGGATTATGTCTTATGTGCAATATCCAATCTTTTTGCTGAAGGCAAATACAACTTGGGGAGGTGACCCTTTCTTACAGGAGGCTAGTATCTAGATGAAGAAGTAACTACTTTGAATTTATCTTTTATGTACATTTCAACATTCGGCAATAACGTAAAACGATCCATGAACGTATTATAGGGATCATGTCGAATTGCAGAAATTCATTTTCTCAAAAAATGTAACCAGAATTACGCTTTATGTATATCGTTGTGTCCTCGTTGTTAGCTTAATTGAACTGTTTAAATGCCCATTCAAATAAAGTACTGGGGGAGTGATACACCTAAAAAATATAGCACAAGGTAATGTATTGCATAGTTTCTTTCTGGTTTATCTCGAAAATTTCTTGCGATTAAAACAAAACGAATGTATATAATGCATTCGATTAATTTCGAATTCGCTTAAGATTTAGATTTTCAGTCTGCTTCAAATGATTTTGATTATGTTGTACTTTCGTTTTACCTGAAAATTGCATTAAACTTCAGATGATAGTATTGAAAGTAGATGCAACGCACTGTAATTGTTTATCGAAATAACTAATCGCCTTAATCTCCTGCAAATCATGGCAATACATTGAATACGAGTTATTTAAGTTAATGTCACTAACTAACCTTTCGTACTCAACATTTTACATGGATGTACCTGGTAAGACATGTAACGGGTTGTCATGTTGTCTAATGTTATATACAGTAAGGAGATGGGATGTGATTGCCAATAAGACAACTTTTCAAATGAAGCAGATTTAAACAGCTGCATGTATATAGGTAACAGTAAAGCCTTCAACATTGACGAAAACCTATACTGTATAGTCAGCTATTAAAAGCACTGATAAAAAATGTGAAACAATTCAAACAAACAAATATGGTTTGACCCTGACAGTTATCGAAACCACGAGCTCCAACACACGAAGGAAAATGCTACCACGAGACAGCCGTGGCGGTGTTATAATATAGATTCAATTATGGTCAGGTACAAATGAGGAGAAAAAAATCCAAAAGGGGGGCGGGGGAAATCAGAAACATGCATAAGTCAATAAAGAGCAACACAATAGTGCATCACATCTTTGCAGTAGCGTCTTTTAATTTCGATATACTATTTATACATGAACTACCGTTCATTAAACAGAGCTGAAACGTTTCGGATTAGGTGATAATGTGTTAATGTTATTGCGGATCATATTTTATTTATTTCAATGAGACTGAATTTTTTAATGAGCCGAAAACAGCTTGCATAAATGTTTTAAATGTTATACACCTTTAACTCAATATTCAGCTAAATTGGATTCGAAAAATTGGTTATATGGTAATGGTCTATTTTCAATTTTGAAGCACACAAGATCATCTCCAGATTTCCGCGGGATTCGTGTTGTCAATGACTGCTATTTTTTATTTATTTTTCTGCGATTGTATACAGTTACAGGAATGTTGATCGTCTGTTTGTCGTTTTCCTCCTTCTTTGTTATTCTCTTGGTACCTTCTTCCTCTTTAAAAAAAATATAATGCGTTTCACATTAGACTGACATTCTGTGATTTTGAAATGTAATGAAGATAGATATGAGATTATTGGGATAAAAACATCAAATAAAACATAAGTTACTGTGCTTGTTCTCTAGAATGTTTCGTTTTACATGCCTAAATATTATATAAAATTTGTTTATTAAACAGTTACAGTTTATTATATTGTCTTTTTTTAATATTATTATATGAGTTGGCTTTCATTGTGTATTTTGAAACCTTTTATTGTCACTTTGGTCTTAATTCAAAGTTACAGAAATGTTGATTACACCAGATCTTCTTATGTTTCATATAAAAGAATATGTTTCCTTTCCTTTAACAATTATTCTTTAAAATGTGTTATTCCAAGTGATAGATATAGGAAGATGTGGTATGAGTGCCAAATGAGACAACTCTCCATCCAAGTAACAATTTTTAAAAGTAAACCATTATAGGTCAAGGTATGGCCTTCAACACGGAGCATTGGCTCACACCGAACAGCAAGATATATAAAGGGCCCCAAAAATTACTAGTGTAAAACCATTCAAACGGGAAAACCAACGGTCTAATCTATATAAAAACGAGAAACGAGAAATACGTACAAATGTATGAACTACATAAACAGACGACAACTACTGTACACCAGATTCCTGACTTAGGACAGATGCAAACATTTGATGCCTGATATCTTGTGGTGAAATTCTTTGTACTGTTCTGACACTGTAGTCAAACTCCTAATAAAAGATATTTGGCAAAATGAATAAAAATGTTATTTTTTGTTTTTTTCTTCTTTTTTTTTTCACTTTTTTTCCAAAACTGATTCATTTATTGCACTTTCATGTTCTTCTAATCCGTCAAATCGCCGTCAAAATAAACCTAACTACAACGTTGTATCAAAGTAATGAAGGACAGATTGTGAATTGGTCGACATAAAATTACCTGTTTTTTAAATTCAAGTATATCAGTCGACCATATCTAAAACCACAACGATATACGTAAATAAACACACCAGATAACAATGTATGTTTTTGAATTACGCAAGGTAAAGTGATCATAATTTGTTTTCTTTTGTTTCAAATAACAATATATTTATTAAAAAGTATGTATACTATGCTAAATATTATACGTTTCAATGCTTTTCTATGTTGTTAGATTTTGGAATTCTTTCTTTTAAGTTCTTACCACTTTACCGTGGAAAACCCTATTGATTTTGTTCTGAATTTTTTTTTAGGTCTTTCCATTTTACCTTCGAAAGACCTATTGATTTTGTTCTGTTTATTATTTTTTTTTTTGTTCTGCTTTATTTTTTCGTGCACTGTATTGATGTTTCACAACATGTCGGTTAAATAGTTTGTATGTGATATTGTACAGTGTATACGCTTTTGAAACTGACCCTGTTTAACCGAACACTTTTCTTTGTCTGAGTTATTTCCCCAAACATTGTTTTTCTTGTTAAGACATGATCTCCTTCGCAAACGTAAAAGAAAGCGATCAATTTATTTTTTCAAACTGACCCTGTTTAACCGAACACTTTTCTTTGTCTGAGTTATTTCCCCAAACATTGTTTTCTTATTAAGACATGATCTCCTTCGCAAACGTAAAAGAAAGCGATCAATTTATTTTTTCAAATTGCTTATTATATCCTCAGATTGTTACATTTAATTTTGTCTAAAGCCTTAATAAGACTCCATATGAGAGTTATTTCCTCTTATGTATTTGAAATAAGTTATATGTTCTTTTAACATATAAACAATAAGCGATAGGGACCTAGGGTGTTTTGATTTGAGGTCATTGGTCCATCTAAAGAAAAATGAGGTTAAGGTCAAAGGTCAAGTTCATGTTCTAAATTTAGATTTAGGCTTGTTATTACTTTTTATCAGAAGCTGTAAAAGATATCGACAAAATATATTTTTACTTAATTGTTATACAGCATGCGACATGTCGTTACAAATAAATTTTGGTTGAACAGGTACATATATCATATATAAAACTAGCTGTATGGTGATATAACTCATTGACCATATATAGTAGAGCTAGGGTATTTTGATTTGAGGTCTTTACTAGATGACCTTGAAATTTAGGTCAAGGTCATAGGTAAATTTGATGTTCTAGATTATGACCTTAGCTTTAAGACTATATTTTTAAATGATAGAACCATGTGACTGTTTGCATTAGGTTGCACGCCATATGACCTTGAAAAAAACCAGCCAGAATTGACCTTGTGTGAACCAGAAGTAGCTATTTTTTGTACTTATTTAATGTTAAAGTATATAGAACCATATTTTTGGAATCAGTGTCAAGTAAACTAACATATTATACCGGAAGTAACAAATGATCTCTCTTATTTCAAACATAAGTGTATAGGAACCATATATTTTTGGAACCAGCACACATTTAGCTATCACCTGACACTGGAATTGACATTGTAACCTCGATTTTAATATTTTCATATAAAAATACATGGTTTTGTTTATGAAAAGGCCTTCATTTAAAAATATTTTGAATTTCTTGTCGAATAACATCGAATATAAACGTCTTTTTCAAATAAGAAGTCCCAATGTGTAGTATGATTTTGTCTTTATGAATTTCGCCAAAATAGGTTTTGATGGGCTAATGCAAAATTAATGTTAAAGGTTTTATTGAATATCCTAAAGATTAGTCTATTTTTAGGTCATACTATAATTCCTTAAAGCTCGAATACAATACAAAAAAAACATAACTAGCACTATAAACCAGTAAAAGTCTGAAATGGCCCATATCTGTACTCGAGTGTACTGATTTGTACTCGACCAGTCTGAATTGGTCTGTTTTACTCGACATTACTCGACCCGGCGCCCCAGTCTAAACCATAGTCGACTGTACTGATTTGTACTTGACCCTTATGAATGTCATTGAAAATAGTCTGAACTATTACTCGACCAGTCTGAAACAGTCTTAACCCATTCTCGACCTGTACTCGGCCTATGTTTTCAGTCTAAACCATACTCGACCAAAGGAATAAACAATACTCGACCAGTCTGAACCATACTTGACCAAATAACCCCTACTTTTTTTTTGGTTCTAACTGTAAAAATAAATTTCTTTTTAACTGACATTGCAAAAGCCACAATAAAATAAAGATAACAGATTTTTACATTCTTACATGAATTTCAGATTTATCAAATAGAGATAGCTAAATCAAATTATCTTATATAATTTAATTTAATTGAAATATGTGACAAGTTTTACAGTTTGTTTAAAGAAATTATTTTCTTTTACCTAAAAATCACACCTATACTGAGGATAATTTAACCTTATTAAGGTGCTTCTTGTTTGGCCTGTGTGGGGTTTTTTTAAACTTAATTTTCCTTAATTCCTAAATAAAAAATACATAGGTTTTATGGTTACATAACATAGTAGTATAATTATCTTTTGAATGAGGTAACAACAGCCAACAAAATCACTGAAATGTTTTAACCTTATATTAGAAACATAATAATCTGTCATTATAATTCTATATGTTTAACTTAAATCGCAAGGCCTTTTGAATTCGCTGGATAAGTAATACACGAGTTTAAGAAAAATTTGGCTTTCTGTTTACCTGTAAAATAAAAATGTACTGAGGTAATTAAACCTTATCAAAGTGCTTCTTGTACGCCATGTCTTTAATTTTGACAACAATTATTTAAATCTAATTGAAATAAATGTTTACTGTAACTTTGGAACACATTTCCTCTTTTAAAAGGTTATCAAGGATAGCTTTGCTATGGAAGTTCTATTATCATGATTATATTAAATTCTTGGTTTAACAAAACATAGTGTCTTTTTTTTAATTTATTAAGTTGCTTTATATACTATTTTGTACATATTTTGATAAAAATAAATGTTCACTGCATTATTAACTAAACTCAACTGACACCATAAATCTTTATACTAGGCTTAAGTTAATGGTGAAAATTGTGCAGTTACCATGAAATATATCTCAAACATTCAAAAACATTTGAAAAACATTGAAAATATAAGTCACAATTCAGTTTTGAGATTATTTGATCAGCTTGTTTTATTTTAATTTTAAAGGTGATATTTATATGTAATTCTTGATGAATATGGTGTTGAAGTTATATTATGTTTATTGTGAAATTTCGGTTTCAATGCTGTATTGAATACATGTTTAATTTCAAATTGTTGTTCAAATTTGGAGCCAAGGGGAATAGCTGTTGTAAAAACCCGTTCCTGAATTGATGAAATACAATAGATAGATACAAAAAATAGGTCTAGGTTAGTTAAGAATTGGTCAAGTATAGTTCAGACTAGGTCAAGTAGGGTTCAGACTAGGTCGAGTATGGTTAAGACTAGGTCGAGCACGGTTCAGACACGTATAAAACGGTTAAGTACTGGTCGAGTAAAGGTCGAGTACAAGTTCAGACTGTTAAGTATGGTTCAGACTACAGTCAAGTATTATCAAGTAAATATCAGACCAATTCAGACTGGTCGAGTAAAAATCAGTACAGTCGAGAACAGATATAACCATTTCAGACTTTTAAGAAAATGCCTGTACCAAGTCAGGAATATGACAATTGTTATCCATTCATTTGATGTGTTTGAGCTTTTTATTTTGCCATTTGATTAGGAACTTTTGTGATTTTACTTTTTACTGGTTTGTAGTGTAGTATACTGACGGACTTTAGAAACGCAACACACATTTTGGTGATTTTTTTTAACAAATCTTGATTAACCCTCATAGAACTACTATCAATGTTTGCAATACTTCTTTATGGTTAGAAAAATCCAATACCTGACTTAACTGAGGTTATTGAACATACCGTATTATTAAAGTCGTACGAATTTCTTAAAGCGAAAATTTGAAACTCATAAATGATTTTTTTAAGGATATTTTTTCGAGAAACTATTCTTTAAATCAATAACCACACTTGAAACCCACACAAAAAAATATTGCACCTCCATGTTGCCGAGACTTACCAATGATAATCTAAATCAGGCCATAAGAATATTTCTAGCAGGCAATTTCGATTTACTGTCCTTAAAACAACGATACAGGCAGACGGGATTTGTTTACGACCTTTCACGACCAGATCAGTATGTAGTGACAACGCAACGTCAATAAAATTTGATTATGCAACGTCATTTGCGAGACATGTTTACGGCAACAACTTCGACTGCTAATCAAGTCGACGAATGCCATGGCAGACAGATTCATGCCAATAATGTTTCCCATATGCTGAAATGCTTAATAATCGACTGCAGAAAAACGTTTGAAGCACTAAAGTTTAAACCACTTAATTGCTAAAACACACTGTAATGAATGGGACAGAGGCACAATCCGAAGGTACAAAACAGAACACAAAACATGCCCAACAAAATTTATTGACTTTTCTGATCACCATTTTGGCGTGTGGTGCAGGCAGTCATTGCCTTCGACGATGACACAGCAATTGGTGAGGAGAAAACTAGGGTTTCATCGCATACCACATAATTTGAACTTTAAAAATTACGTCATCAGTTCTACTTTTGAACTGCAAACTTTTCTTTCAGTTAATTAAGAAATAAATAGAATTATTGTTAATACATTTATTTTACCCAAATTCCCTTTTTGAAAATGGGAATAAAACAGAATAATTTAGTTTTGCGTTTTTAAAGTCCGTCAGTATATAAGAAAATGCATAGCGACAATTTAAATAATAGTACGTAAAACAAATCAGAGTCAAAATTAAAAAAAAATCCACAAATTTTAACAGTAACAGCATTTAAAACATATCACAGAAAAAGAGAATAATGAATCTCACTGAAAATTGGAGATAACTTTGGGTCAAAGGTGCAAGTAAGCTAGCTGCAACTCTATTGACTATTGATATCCGTCGTGTTGCTTGTTTTTAGTATAAAATCCAGTTATAAATAGTTTTGGTCATGGTGTTATATAATTGAGAACAGATAAGTAGTTAAGATACGATCAGTTGTCTCACTGGCAATCATACTATTTCTTCTTATTTTCATATTATCTTGCATGTCACTCTATTTTCTTATAACTATGTAACAACTAATTCTTTGATTGTAACTTTTCATTGATGGATCTAAAAATGGGTATCGGAAAAAGCCTTAATGTTTTATTCCACACAAAAGAAGGTGCTGTAAAGAAGTGTTTGATCAAAACATATTTTAAATATGTTCGTCCCTATAGGAAGCAAGCCAGTTGTATATCCATATTCCTGATTCATCCAATTATATTATACTGTAAAACGCTTTCAATTCATTGCTCAATTATATTACTTGATGACTGTCATTATTTACGAGAGTAATCTAAATGACAACAAGGAGATATTCGACAATGTTACTGCAGGAAAGCAAATTTCAAAATGACCACTATTTGGTTCTTAAAATGATCTATTTCAAAAGCCTTAATGTTTTGTTAAAATTTATCTATTCATAAGAGTACATTCTTGGCTTCAAAGTCAGCACATGTTGGATGTATTGTCAAAATACGATGATTTTGTGTATTTCCGGACCTAAAAGCTTGCTGAAATCATTGGCTGCAACCTAGAATCCAAGAATTGATAATATTGAATCCTTAGAGACAAAACTTTCTGGATCATGGACTGTGGCTTAAGGATGTATTCTTCTGACGTTTCAGTCTCGTTGAAATCTCGTTCTGGAATTATTTCCAAAACATGTGATACAAGTGGAAAATATCAATGAATTTAAAAAATGTTATAATCAAACTGAACTCTGTGAAAAAATTGTGTATTTACAATAAGTAGATTTTGAGTAATAAATTTTTCAAATTTTATTACCAATCAAGTCAGTCTTTTTAGCCAAAATTTTGAGAAAATGGGTGAGGGGTACAAGAAATGATTTTACCAGGAACATGTAAATCCCATATCACTTTTTTCTTTTCAAATTTCTTAGATATGCATTTTTTCAATCATTTATAACAAAGAAGTTGAAATGATATGCATTTTGTTCTTAAAATAGAGAAAAACCACAAATTTACAGAATTGACAGCATGGTAAATTTGACACGAAAAAGCATCAAAATATGATAAAACTTTCTTATATTAACACCTACCTATAGTTTTTTTAAGTTAAATTTATTCAGATTGGTGCACTTCATCTATATTGAAAGTATACACAAAAGTTTAATTGTGAAACTGGTATTTGTTTCACGATAATAGCCCAAAAATGGGTGAAAAATTAGGAAAAATGGGAAAATCATCAAAATTAGGTACTTTCAAATGGCCGTAGCAAAAAATTAAGTGCACCACTATATGATTTTTTCTTTACCAATTATTTTTTTACAGTCATATAAACCCAAAAATTAGGTGAAGAAAAAAAGTTTAATTCTAGAAAGTTTTGGCTCCTCAGAGGTGTACATCCTTAAGTAAATTATGCGAAAGACTGTTTAGAGTTGTTGAAAATTTGACCAAAATTTACGTTATAACATAAATATTGCATACCTTAGAAGATCATTTATACTTCGTTATTTCTAAATTGATTCCATAATCGAGTTATGTTGTATTAAAGGGGCATTAGCTGTCAAATTCGTGTTCACCGATTTGACTTAAATGCTCTTATTTGATTTATAACATACTAAACGTATATCAAAATTACAAAAAGTCTAAAATAAACCTTTACCCATTCATGGAAGCTATAATATGTATAAATTTCGTTTATATTTTGTCTAGACGTCATTTAATTAACCATCAAAATGACCTCCGAAGACTGCCGATGGTCATATAACCCAATATTAACATAAATATAAACAGATATTGTCCACGTGCAATTGGGTTTTTCTAGGTCTGTTTGATTTCAAAATGTATGTTAAAAGTATCATCATTTTTACCTGTATAATAGTTAAAAACATGCGTAATCTATCTACAGCTAAGGGGTAAATTTGAAGGTCATATGAATAGATCTAATGAATTTGAATTTCTCATATGCAAGTGAACAATTCGTCAATGATGATTTTTGCTAATTTTGGCATAATAAACCAAATTGGCTGCTAAATAAAGGCAACAGAAGTATACCGGTGTTCAAAAGTCATAAATCGATTGAGAGAGACAAATCCGGGTTACAAACCAAAACCGAGGGAAACACATCAACTATAAATGGAAAACAAAGGAACAACAGGAACACCGAAGTGCAACAAAAACAAAAGCTTAAACACATAGAAACGAACTATTTGATAACAACAAATTACACAAAACAAGAAGCAATTTATATCGTTTTAAGGAAAACAGCACATTAAAGCATGATATTGTGCAATTCCAAAAAGAAACCATACAGAAAAGCAAATTGATATATATCTTTAAATATACGATGATTGAACAACAACAGTTAAATTATTACCTTTGTCATTATAGGTGCGTAAGTCTATTTCCACTGGTGTGGAAAATTCATACACTCCTGACTACATCAAGATAACGAATGTATTTCTTATGAATTCGAAGTGTTCCTTTACTCATTTTCGAACCGGGATGTAAAATTGAAAAATGCCAATGAAGACTTATGACTGTCATTGCAAATTTTTAACACCGATGTTGCTGCGCTTTGGCAAATACTTTTTTTCCTTATTTTCGTGAAATTTTTAAATTTATTAATTTTAATTTTGCATTTTTTTTTTTTAGCATTTTAATTTTCTTTCTTAATTTTGGCAAACTTTTTATTCTTTGATTTTTTGGCAAAATTTTATTTATCCCCAGGTGAACAAGGGTGTGGTATTATTCACATCCAGATAATTAACCAATCAGAATGCAGGATTTATACAAATTGTATCGTGAATAATAATTCCACAACCGATCTCTGTATTTATGACTAGGGAATAAATCTAGCAAACGGCGTACCATTTAGGGCATGTTCATTTCGTGTCAAGAATTAAAATGACAAAGATAACGTTGTGATTATTGGTAACAGAAGACAAAAACTCACGTTGAAGGTAAACCGTCGGTCCAACAAATGCGAATCGATCTATCGCCTTAATTTTTTAAATAATCTAAAACAAATATTACTTGGTTCACTGAATTTTAGATCGATTCGGGTTGCCTAGTTTTTATATGAAAACATAGTGGATTGTTGTACGTACATTTTTGACTTTTTTCTTATACATTGACTGTCTTTTTTTTTACACTGGTCCCTTGAAAAATATTCTCTCAGTTTCACATTTTTTTTTGCTATATAAACTCAACTTCTATTTTTGTTGTTTGAATTCCTTTAATATCGTATGTTTACAATGTACTATATCGTCCTGCACATGTATGAAATATATGCCACCAGACGTTGTGCAAACATAAGAAAATGTATTTAATAATTTCAGTCCAGTTTTTTTTTTCACAGTTTCCAATCCGCCAGTATTAAGATCATACAGAATGAGTTACTAAAGATAATATTAGGATTTTATCAGGAAATGAGTTCCCTGCTAGTTTTACTGCATGTGAGTTTTAAATAGTTGACCAAAAATTAATAGCAAATTTATTGTTTTCGAACATTTTGAGAAAGAATAGCAAATATTTAAAAATCTAAAGAAAAACACCAAAAGTTATGATCATAACTGTCATAAAAAATATTTATCACGTGACAACACTTTGACCTACACTGAGTAGTAAAAAAACGGATATCAGTTTGGAAGAATGTCTTTAATATTGTAGGGACAGTTTTTAATTACCTAAATTAAGTAAACAATCTACGTGATAAGTTTTCATGTTAAAATCTCACAAATCAACTACAAAGACAAAAAAGGTCACAAACAAATACTGAAAGAAATAGTATGAGCTTAAAATGATGCGAGATCGGATGCGTCGACTGGGTAAGCGTCTCCTGATATATATGTATAACCCGCCATGCGAATTCACACCTAGACAAAATGCCACAATCAATCAGGGATATTGCACAGTTATCAATAACTTAATTTAATTTATAAGGAGCGAATACAGCAAACAATTGTAGAAAACACAAAAAGAAAGGTGAACAACTAAACATCATTAAATTTCAGTCCGCAATTAAAAACAATGTGCGTAGAACTAACAACAAGAGAAAAAAATACAAAATGCAGTATCAACATCATTTAAAATCTATTTCGACTATCAAAACATGTATGTCCGATCTTTGATCATACCATACATAATACACCCGGATAAGCCCCGAACCGTACACAATTATTTATCTGCTACAGATTAACTATTATTTTCTTTGTAGGTACCAGTTTGGTTGACTATATTTCAAATATCAACTGAAGTTACATTGCCTTTTCAATGTCCACATCAGTCACATAAACATATGCGCAGTCATTGGTACTGCAAAAACAATCTAAAGCATGAATACATCTGTTTAATTGATACTGAACGTGCATCATCAACTGAACTATGTGTCAAAACCTTGGACTATGCCCCACCAGGTACGTGTAGGCTAAAAATAAGTATAATGCATCTTCGAAATAAGCATCAAATTTTAATTATGAAAATTGGTATTCTAATTGATTTTGTTAATGGCTTTAGCTAACTTTCAGACATGGTAAACATATTTTCAGCTGAAAAAAAAAGTAAATTTTGTAATGTGTTATCGTATGTGCTCCGAGCTTATTACGCGTTCTAAAAAAAAAGACATTTTCTTCTTTTTCATAATACATTTCATTTTCAAAACCTATAAAACGACGTTTTGATATTTAAGTTGTAAGAATGTTATTTCATTTGTTAAAATCAGAGCAAAAAAAACTGTTTGAAACTTATCATGTTTCTGTTCAAATTTAGGTCAAAACTATGTATGGACTGGCGGCTTTCGTAACTTAGATTGCAAAAATCATACTTTCCAACCTTATGCACTTTGGCAAAATGAAAGCGAAAAATGTTTGTTTGAAAAATCACACTGCATTGATGAAGGCCAAACTGTATTTCACTCTGGAACAACAGAAACGGACAGTTCTTGTCGCTGTGATCATACACGATATTATAGTTTTGTAAGTCCAACTGAGCATGGTGAATATTGTGAACCATCAAAAGAGGATTGTTCCTGTTACATCAAACAATGTGCTTATAATGAACAACTTAATTCCGGTATGTTTCGTTTTAACATATATCACTTTAGTTTTATATGAAAACATTTTAAGTGTAAAAGGAAGTACTTGATATTTGTTGAAAACGTGCTAGCTATATTTCCTCTTCCTAAATTGTCTGACGTTTAAATATAATGGATTGTAGGTCGACATTACAAGTTGCCTTTTTAAACTTCTAAATGACCTTATCCACGAATATGCTGAACGTGAATTTACATGTAAAGTATCCAAATATTGTATATATACGTTTTTCTTGTTCGTCTTCCCGGTTGGGGCCTCGGTGACGGAAAGGTCTAAGTAGTTACTACGGTAATCACTAGCCAGTCAACACTGAGGTTGCGAGTTCGAGCCCCGCTCATGCGGGTGCACTCGACTCCAACTTGGATTGTCAGTTTGCCTACCGAAGGTCGGTGGTTTTGTCCGGGCACTCCTGCTTCCTCCACCGATGTAAACTGGCTGCCACGAAATAGCACAAAGGCGGTGCCTAAAAGTGGCGTTAAAACACAGAGAATCAAATCAATTAAAGCTTCACGGTGACTAGACATAATTTATGACTTGATATTGATTAGCTCATTAACAGTTAAATACATGTTTTAAAAAACTATTTCTTTAATATGTTTTTCAAATTTACATTACATGAGATCTTTTTATTTCATTGCGTTTCTGTATATAATCCACTTATGAAGAAGTACATCCATCGATAATTGAGTGTAAAAGTACATCACCACGAGCCGGCGCTAAGTCTTTCATTCAGATTTACTTTCCTAGAATTAAGATTTACTTCCTCTTGATAAAGACGTTATGAATAAAATTGAGATTTGAAATGGGGAATGTGTAACAGAGACAACAACCCGACCACTGAGCAGAGAATAGTCCAAAACCATTAATAAGTCTTCAACACAGCGAGAAAATCCCGCATCCGGAGGCGTGCTTCAGCTGGCTCCTAAACAAAAATGTGTACTCGTTCGGGGATAATGGACGTCATACTAAACTTAAAAACTTATAAATAAACTGTCATTTCGGGGCCTTTTATAGCTGACTATGCGGTATGGGCTTTGCTAATTGTTGAAGGCCGTACAGTGACCTTTAGTTGTTAATTTCTGTGTCATTTTGGTCTCTTGTGAAGAGTTGTCTTATTGCCAATCATACCACATCTTCTTTTTTATATAAAATGAAAAATCGTACAAGACAAACAAAGGCCAGAGAATAGGTAACAGAACAGAATACTCATAACGTATACACACAGTAAAACTCAGTTTAAAAAAGTCAGAATAGGTAAAAAAAGAAACTAAGCAAAATGACAATGATACATAAATTAACAAAGGACTACTAGCAAGTTACTGACATTCCAGCTCCAGACCTCAACTTAACTGATTGAAAGATTATGTCTTCATCATATGAAAATCAAGCACAAGGCCTCCCGTTAGGGGATTAGTGTCATACCATCATAAAGTATATGAGAAGAAAATAACCCGTTTCATGCCAACAACTGGTTTTATAATAAATGTGTTTATTTCCGATACAAAGACCCTATGAGTGATTCAAATGAATATTAAAACAAAAATATGCCATCTTTAATGACCTGACAACAGTATCGTAATTATATCCCTTCTTTATACGTCTGTTAGCTTTTGAGGTGAAAGCCGACATATTTGTACTTTTTAAAGAATATTACCATAAAAGATTGAATGTGAAATACCTGAACGTATAAGATGTCTGCATGTTGATTAATATCTACGAATGATGTTCTTGTGCCGATGATAATATCAGATTATTACATGGCATTTTTCATATCACATGTATTATCAGCCCAAGGTTCAATATCAACCCAAGAACCGAAGGTTCGAGGGCTGATATTGACCGAGGGCTGATAATACATCTGATATGAAAAATGACATGTTATGATCTTTTTATCATATGCTTCAACCCATGAAGAAAAATAACAGTTTAATATATTGATTCTTTTAAATGGTTCTCAAGTAGAAGTTCAAAAACTGAAAAGTTTAAGGACGTCGGACACGAAATGTAATACATCCGATATGAAATCTTTCTATCATATGCCTCAACAGTGGAGAAAAACAACAGTATAATATATTTTTATATTGACGATAAAAAAAATCAACAAAATATAATGAACACTGTATAGAAAAGTCAACATTTGTAAAGTAACTTTCTAAACTATACTGGAAATCGTGAAAAATTCATTTATTGTATCATTTGGTTTTTTTTTTTTGCATTTTAAATAACGGTAATATATTTTCCTGTTTCCTAATAATTGTTTTGTACCCTACTTTGTTATGTTTTTCACTGAAAACGTACCATTGAGGGGTGTTTTCCAGAATTTGCCGAGTAACGCCGGAATGCATGTGCGATGACATTACGGAAAGGCATGTGATAATAGCTGAAGCATGTGAAATGTTCATATCAGCCCGCTAAACACCAATTCGGAAAATATGGAATTAACATAAATTTAATGCTATTATCATACTGTAAAAATTATAAGTTATTTACTCTAAGCATATGATAAATATTAGTAAATGTTTTGACTAGTTTGTGATTTCGATAACCCTGGTGTAATATTGTTTCAGTAATACATAGATTTCTTTTGTTAAAATCAAATACGTTGTTACAAACACGAGCGATTCGAACAAGTTGAAATACATAAACTCAATAAGAAGGTGACAAGGGAACGTAACCATCTAAAAATAGATAATTAACAATAGGGAATGAAAAATCATCTCTTTTATCATAAATTTTGGTATCAAGTTTCCCGTTAAAGATATAGATATCAAAATCCAGGAAAGGGCATTGTTCATATTTAGCATTAGCTTTATATAAAGTCAGGTCAGCAGGTTAAATCTCTTTAGTATAGATACTGAAGTCGTCATTATTGAATACATCTTTTGTGTTTTTTGTCTCTCTTGCGAAATGATTGTTCGGTGTACATGTCTGTCTGGTATTTAACATCTTTCATTGATCTCATTTTCATGGTTCATTGGTCAATGTTAAGTTTCAGTAGTCATATCCTCTTCTAATATACTATAAACAATAGATCAACTATATTTGGTGAATGGAATGATTGTAAGATATTCATTGTCATTATTGGTTTATCTTACCTTAATGTTAAGTTTATAAGATACTTGTAGTAAAACTTTATCTTTATGACTATCCACATACAACCAAACATAGATCGTGAAGCAGGTGAGACATTTCAGCGTGTGTACTCTTGACGTGTTGTTGATTGGCTGCCTGATTTATGTACAAAGTTTCTTTTAACCTAAATAATCCAGCATTTGTAGGTATGGACGAGTTCGCGCGCTTTGCTTTGTGAAACACACTAATTCACTAGATATTGTAAATAGATATAAGAAGATATGACATGAGTGCTAATGAGATGACTCTCTATCCAAGCCACAATTTGTAAAAGTAAACCATTCAGGTCAAAGAACTTCTTCAACAAAGAGCCTTAGCTCACACCGAGCAGCAAGCTATAAAGGGCCCAAAATGGTAAGGGTAAAACCATTAAAACGGAAAAACCAACGGTCTAATCTATATAGAAAAAAACGAAATACGAGAAACACTAATGAACAAACGACAACCACTGAACATCCGATTCCTGACTAAGGACAGGTGCAAACAAATGCAGTGGGTTGAATCGTACCAACTTTCACCCATACCTGAAACAATAGTGTTACACCACAACATAGAAATACACACTATAAGATATCAATTGAAATGACTTAACTCATTCAAAAGACATATTAACACAAACAACTGAATATACACTGAACGAAAAAAATTTTGTTTTTTGTCACAATGTAAATACAAAATCAATAAAAAAGGGGTGAATTGTTAAACAATATCAGAAAGAAAACCATAACCTTGAACAAAATGCCGCCCAATAGAATAATGTACACAGGTAAAGGAAAATGATTTTGTTGTAAGGTATAAAGTAATGGAATGCAGAAATATTCCATATTTTTATATAAAAATAACATAATTAATTGGATAAAAAATGTAATATAGTACTTAAAGTCTCATGTTTGTACCTCGACAGAATAATTATTGTTGTCTAGCACCTAAGTATTTTTTACATATTCAGGATGTAAAACATTATAAAACAATTGTATATTCAATAGGTAGACATCGGATTGGAAAATTCCCATTCCAACCGCATGTGATTTTTTGTTTATACACCGCGCAAAATAAATAAAAAAAGGATTGTTAGTTTCGTGTCGTCTAAGTGAAAAAGGTCGTGTTTAATATGTAGATTCAGTTTAAATTACTGTAAAGTGTATTGTTTTCGACTTATGAGGTCGAAAATCCCTTTGGTATCTATCGCCTTTAATTGACGAATGTACATGCAACTAATAATATACATCTGTATTAAAATGGTTATGTTTTAAAAGCATATAATTTAAAAATATGTTTGCGCTGATATAATCATTTTAAATGATTCTTCAACTAATATTTAAAGATGTATTCATTTAAGAAATAATCCATTTATTGAAGATCTTAAGACGGGTCAGACTGTTTGCCACAAATAACACTGAGCAATCGCGAATTGATTTTTTGCTGAAATGTTTAATAATTTTATCTCCTGCGTCGTCCACATTGCAAAGAAATTGCCAGTTTAAATGTGACGTCATGCAAGTGAACCTCATGTTTTGTCATAATAAGAACACAAATGAAAGAAAGACTTTGAATATCTAATACTAACACAAAATTACCTGAAGATCATTAGAAAACCTAGTAATGTAAAATAACTAATGAGCAACTCTGACTAGGATCTTTACTTGGCACAGGCTTAAGAGTAATTGGCGGGGTTAAAGAAGTTTTTATTACACCATATCCCATTTCAATGTGGATCAGTGGATCAACGAAACCTGAAAACAAGAAGCACATTTAAAAATCAGTTAAGAAAAAGCACTATGATGCATACTTATATATATATATATATGTATAAAACGTCGAGATATGAGTCCATGAATTTCTTAAGAGGGCGCTGGATCTTATTGAAAAACAAAACGATACTGTGTACAATAGATAAGTATAGATTATCGGGTTTTCTACACATTGATATCGTAAAATATCAGCCCCAAGCCTCGCGCTTTAAATATTAAGATTTAACTTCTCGAGTAAAAAAATATCGTAATACACTTGTTGCAGTGCCGGAATCTAGCTATATTTAACCGTCCGTCCTAAAGTTGTCACGTACATTTGTATCTAAACGTAAACTATATTTACATATTTGTATAATTATGGTAAAATGTTTGATATACGATTGGTTTTGTTAATAAAAAATGCCATTAAATACATTGGTTTATCTCGGAATATGGAAAAAACAATTCTTGTCTTTTGTTCTGGAAAATGTGTGGTACGTTTCATTGACTTAGTGGATATCATAAGTAAATTAAACCACATATTTACTGCATCAGAAGACAGTAATTGTATAACATCAAACCAACTAAAGTACGTATTATAAGTATAAAAGCTAGAGAGCTAGAGAGCTCCGTATAGAAGCTATGACACTTTATAATCATTTATACTGCAACTATGTTTATAAAATAATTATAGGAACACAGCTATATTTTGTGCAATGTCAATTTCATCATGGAACATTTTTTTTCACAATCAGAGGTTCATTAAGGGATGAAAATAAGTTTGTGATTAGTGTTACAATTTAAATAGCAATCAATGTATTAATTTAAGTTGCAGTATTCTAATTCTTTATTAACTTTGAGTCTTACGGCTCATCAGTATATTGAAATACATGTACAGTGTATACATATGGCACATTACAAACAATATTAACAATATGCATAATTAACAATAGGTGACGTCAGAAGTTTCGTCAATACAAAATATCTTTTATTACAATAAACTGTTTCTTAATTTAAAAGAGAAATGTATATACTTTCCTAAGTTACAAAGCTGTTTTGTGTTTTCACCGGACAATAATTCTATTAACTTGAAAGTTAATGGCCTAGACCAGTAATATATGTTGATATATTTTTTTCGCAAATCAGTTTATCTACTACATTGAAGGATGAAATGAAATTCATCCTCTATTACTACTAAATCACAAAAAATACAGTTTCTTTCATTTCTATTAGTACCAACATAACGTCCAGTTTCAATACAAAGGTTATGTGAAGACAAACGAATCCTTGTTATACATTTAAGAAAAAGTACAGGAATGCATTTCTGTAAATAAAATTGCAAAACTACATTTGTTACCACATACTTATATAATCTACACTTTGGGGAGAATCTAATAAAAATTGTAACTCTTGGTTAGCTTGATAAAACAAACGCTGTCTTATCAAAGGTAAATATGAGCTGTCTACATTTAACAACCACTGATTATCCCACAAATTATTCATACCAAGACTATATATCAATCTTTTTACATATGTTGCCCAATTCATACATTTTAAACAAATTTAACACAATAGATATTAGAAGATGTGGTATGAGTGCCAATGAGACAACTCTCCATCCAAGTCAAAATGTATAAAAGTAAACCATTATAGGTCAAAGTACGGTCTTCAACACGGAGCCTTGGCTCACACCGAACAGCAAGCTATTAAGGGCCCCAAAAATTACTAGTGTAAAACCATTCAAACAGAAAAACCAACGGTCTAATCTATATAAAAAAAAGTGAAACGAAAAACACTTATGAACCACATCATCAAACGACAACTACTGAACATCAGATTCCTGACTTAGGACAGGTGCAAACAATTGCAGCGGGTTTAAGCGTTTTAATGGTACCAAACCTTCATCCTTAACTGAAACAATAGTGTAACATCACAACATAGAAATACACACTATAAAATATCAATTGAAATGGCTTAACTCAATCAAAAGACATATTAACACTAGTGAACATACACTGAACAAATAAATACTTTAAATACAGGTAAATGAAAATAATTTTGTTGTTAGGTATACGTGTACGGTTCAAATACAGAAAGGAAATAATTTTGATGTTCATAGTACGAAGAAGTGAAAATTTATTGTAATACCATTCACTTATCAAAGCTGGTATATAGACCAGATATAACCATGAATAGCATTAAATAACAAAAAAGCATTACAATTAGTATCAAATAAACAAGAAAGTGTGATTTCAGAGTACAAGCTCTTTATAACAAGACCTTAATATTCAATTGTCACTAACTAAAATTTTGAACCAAAATTTAAGTATTTCAAAATTACGCTCATACTGCAGTGGAAATCTACCTAATTCAAATTAGACCATCACATTTGAGGTTGTTCTTTTGACACTTAATAACATTTTGCAGTAGTCCAAATGGACCTTTTCTATCATAGGAGATTTGTGTACTCCCCATATCTCACAATCATACATTAATATACTACTAACATAAGTATCAAATAGACTAAGCAGTATAAAAACAATATCAGGTCAATGTCATAAAAGTATAAACGTTTTTGTATTCGGCAAACAACTGGGGAAGGGCTCGTTACAACTTCGTCCTTCCCCTTTTTTTCAGCCTCATACAAATAAGTTTATATTGTATATGCATTATGTATATTTCTTTTACATATATTGATAAGCGCAATTCTCAGAATTTTTTTTAAAAATTCTATATACCTAAAAATACAATGTTATACTTTTTGTCAATTAACAATATACTTTTCCAACCTTTATAGATTATGAATGCATCAATAGTTTATCGGAAGATTATTCCTCTCTCACAATCGATGCCAGGTAAATATATGTATATATACATGTTCTTCCCTCGCCGGGATTCTAACTCGTGCTATTGAGATATCGAGACAACACCGCCTATTCTGTGTCCAGCGCTCTAGACCCCTAAAAATTCAGCTTTCATCGGCAAAGTGTTACCTTGCCTAGTCTGTATAATCTACAGTTGTAACACAGAACATTATATATAAGGCATGAAGATGGAAACAAACTCATCGCGCATGAAGATGGAATTGATTGTAAATTAGCTAATTTATCTATCGTAAAGGATCGTAAGTTACAGTCACAGAAATAATCATTTGATAAGTGTCTGACAACTCTACGACAGCTCCATCCATTGGATCACCAGTGAAGGTGATACACGGCTGAAAACACATATTATATATATACATAATTACTATAAATATCAGCACAAACATGTTAAATAAAGTCAACAGGTAGTATACCGCTGTTTGAATGTCATAAATCGATTGAATGAAAACAAGCCGGGTTACAACTAAAATCAACGAAGTCAACAAAGTGTTTGTACATAGGTTACGATATATGTGGATTTACGTAGGAGGTAATACTATGTACCTCTCTGAGTCTTTGCTAAGTATATAATTTTATCACGCTGTTATTCACAAAGCGAAAGAAACACGTCACATCAGAATTATTATTTATGTTCTATTTAAGTTTATCAGATTACTTATTTCATTTATATACGTCGTTGAATTTCGCAATGTCTTAAATCTGTTATTCATATTTTAGTTTTTTGTTGCTGTTTTTTAGTTGTTGGATGAGGTATATACCAGGAAAGGGGCAATCACACCACACTTTCAAAAAGGGCAGGGTGGAGGCAAAGCATATTTTTATTTGGTTTCATAATCTTATAAAGAAAAATTTCACACTACTCAATAAATGGGCCTTAAAAAAGTCAGAATGCGAATACATATGTTCTAACTCTTTTAGGTCATTTCTTAGTAAACATCAGACCTTGATATGAGTTCATTTTAATTGTTATCATGGATATGAAATATATATATATGTAAGTGGTCATTTCAACACTGAAATAGCTTTTATATAACACATAGGATAAAGTGTTCAAAATGGAGTTTTTGCTTCTTCAGGTAAAATTTAATACTTTTATATCTCATTTTGAAAATCACATAATGTTATAAAAATCACCTTTCCCAAAATTGTTTATTTGGTTTTTTTTTATTAATGATAAAACATAATTAATAAATAGAAAAACTATCCTTCCAACATCAAATACTTTTTATTTTATTGACGAATGACTTGAGTTTCACAAATTGCCTTTACCGTATAGATCAATATTTATTGTTTTTCTTACAAAACATTGATTTTAAAGTCTCGTATACAAATTACATTAAATATTATTTTTCCTACACCTTTAACCACTCTTTATTATATAACTTTTGCAATATTTAAAAAGTCAATTTAAGTAGTTTTATAATTTCATTTAAAATAATTTGACAAACATCAGTACTGATCATATATTTCTTTTGCTCTTTTACTATGAAATTTGCCTCAGGGTTTGTAATAAACTTCGTTAGGAGTTCACTTTCATAATTAATGTACAATGAAAAGTCATTCATTTAAAGCATTTTATAGAGCATGGAAAGCAATGTACTATGAAAAATAGAAGGAAAAATGCCGATTTTCCATTGGACGAGAAAGGGTGAGCATGTTCTAACATTTTATAGTGTCTCGAAAGCCATGTACTATAAAAAATAGAAAGCAAAATACTAATTTTTTATTGGAAGAGAATGTGTTTGTTCTAACATTCTCTTACAAGGTAAGAATATTTATGCTGTATTTATATTTTTTTATATATATTGCAGTATCAACACCACAGGAGTGGTTGTTCTGTCAACATTCCGAGAAAATACAAGACGAAATGGTAAGTTATTTTCAAGTGGACTTGTAATTAATTCTATTTTATTTTTCCACAATTAAGTAATTTATAATACCTCAACGAGACAACTACAATGACAACAAAATAATTAAATATCATAAATGCTACATAAAGTATTAAAAAACATATGTCCTAACAATATACATGTGTAGCCTCTCTTATAGATAACCTTTTTAGGTTTCGAGCGATTTAAGGTAGAAGGTATTATAAGGTCACTTTTTGGCCACTTGAATTCAAAAGTCAAAAAGCATTATAAATTAATAAAAGCACATCCTTTCGATATAAAAACAAAGGGAGATTTGGTATGATTGCCAATGAGACAACTCTCCACCAGAGACCATATGGCACAGACATTAACAGCTATAGGTTGCAATTCTGTAAATACTGACAATGCAATTTCCCATAGGAACTCCCTTTGCGGCTAAAAATGTGACACTTTTACTATGAAGTTTCGTGAAAAAAAATATCCCAGAACGGAAAGTTTATATGCACTACTATTTTATTCAAAGGTCAAAATATAGGGCTGTGCGGCATATTTTCAACATTTATATGCCCTGAACTTCTAAGAGTTTAAACTTATACTAAAATTCTATACTACCCTTACCTCCATTTTTGGACCTCATAATAATTAAAATTAAGCCGCTACCATGTTTTTCAATACTGGTTACATTCCCAAGTGATGTCTCTATGAGATGAAACACAGAGATCATCAATGGGAACCAGTACGTTAACAAATTAACATACCTACGAATATTAAATATCTCCCCAAAAGAGGCGTGGTTTGAGAAACAGCTGTATTTACAAAGTGCAACCTATACAAACATTTATTCAAATAGAAAACTCTCTAAAAACACTTTTTCTCACAACAATACTTATTTATCAGAATTATAGCCTTAAAGAAATCACTGCATATACTCTAAGTTTCCTTTTACAGTACATTTTATACCCCTACCCCTGTTTCAATTTTTTAAAGATTTTGAAAACAAGACTCTAAATATTGCCAGCTTACCCTATGTGCATGTTATCTGACATGAACTGTCCAAAACCTGTTTGAAACTATTCTTATAACAAATTGAAAGCATTTTAGAATACTGTAAATGTATTGTTTAGTAGTTAAGCATTCCAACATTCAAGATTATACAAAGTATCCAATCCTGCCTGTGTCTCCAGTCCACATCTTACTGTATGCCTATTTGTCAATGAAAGTTCACAATTTCTGCATCAAATGGTCAGTTTAGAATTCTTGTCACAACAGTATCATGCCTAACCATATATCAACAAAAGTTAGCTAATATATGAACTAGAAGTGTTTAAACAAAGCCATATTTGCAAAAGTTGTATTCATGAAGATATCAGTCTGGTGCATAAATTCACTAAAAGTTTGATTGAAATGACTGCTTACATCTGATTTTTGCATAACTTCCTAGCACAGTTATTGTTTACTTTACAAAAGACCTTTAAATAAAAAAATCACAGCATTTACAAGTTAAATTATCTGTTTTATGACTCAGGGGTAGGCATTTTTCTCTGTTTTTTTGCCCCTGGGGCCTCACATTTCCTAATTGTTTTACCTGTTTCTAGCAATGTGGAATATTTACTACATATTTAGGATAGAACACACTATTGTTAGTTTTATTGAGGTCTTTTTGTAATTCTAGCTTGTACATTTTTATGCAGCAGTCACATAAAAGCACATTTAGGCGTTACGGCTTACTTTTGGGTTATCGACAGGACAAAAACACCCCACCAAAAATATTTAGGAAGGATCAATGAGTTGCAAATACTGCGAAGAGTAAATATAAGCACTTCTAAACAATTTAAATTACAAATAGGCATATATTATTAATTTATTTTGAATTCATGGCTTTAAGTAAACCATGCACACTGTAAACTGTGAATTTATGCTGAGTCATCATAGTTAAGGCCCAGGATTTTCTCAATCTTCATGAAATATTTATAAAACTTCATATTTGAGTTAAATTCTTTAAAATCTCTGAGATAAACCAGATTTTGTTAAATTCTGTATGTTCTATTTTTTAACCCTATATAGGTTGCAATTCTGTAAATACTGACAATGCAATTTCCCATAGGAACTCCCTTTGCGGCTAAAAATGTGACACTTTTACTATGAAGTTTCGTGAAAAAAAATATCCCAGAACGGAAAGTTTATATGCACTACTATTTTATTCAAAGGTCAAAATATAGGGCTGTGCGGCATATTTTCAACATTTATATGCCCTGAACTTCTAAGAGTTTAAACTTATACTAAAATTCTATACTACCCTTACCTCCATTTTTGGACCTCCTAAGAATTAAAATTAAGCCGCTACCATGTTTTTCAATACTGGTTACATTCCCAAGTGATGTCTTTCTGAGATGAAACACAGAGATCACCAATGGGAACCAGTACGTTAACAAATTAACATACCTATGAATATTAAATATCTCCCCAAAAGAGGCGTGGTTTGAGAAACAGCTGTATTTACAAAGTGCAACCTATAGGTGACCGTACGGCCTTAAACGATCAGCAAAGCCCACACCACATAGTCAGCTATAAAAGGCCGAAGTAACAAATGTAAAATAATTTAAACGACAAGACTAACGGCCTGATAAATGTACAACAAAATGAACGAAAAACAAATGTGTAACACAGCAACAAACGACAACCACTGAATAACAGGCTCCTGACTTGGGACAGGCACACACATACATAATGCATAATCGCGGGGTTAAACATGTTAGCGGGATCCCAACCCTCCCTTAACCTGGGACAGTGGTGTAACAGTACAACATAAAAACGGACTATAAAAATCAGTTGAAAAAGACTGAACTCATCAGATCAATACAAATAGAAATACATCTAACAAAAACACAAAGTGGATTTTCATACGACGTAAGTCTGTCGGATGACAGTATTTATATTTTTGAATATTGTCTTCCATATAGGTATTAATATTTCTAACTTCGTTCAATTAATTCAAAACAGCCAGAAATGCTAGATGTTCGAATTTTGACTGTTCTATGTTCCTTTGGAATTTCAACCAAAGATGAAGAACTGGATCTTCCATCACTGTATTGGATACATAAACTACATAAATGTCCTTACAAACAACGGTATATTGCTTGGTCCTCCAAGTGCTCCACGAAACCTCTTTCAAAATTATTAACATCTATTTTATCAGCAATCAAAGCCCGGCTTCAAAGTTATTGTGAAACTGCCTACTCTAGAGGTGTCGTGAATCAGATGTTGATACTAAAAAATTCCAAAGATCTTTTAGAGTACATACAATCTAAGACTCTTTCATCTTGGAATAGTATTAAAACATTTGACTTCTCTACACTTTACACAAGTATTCCCCATTCAAAATTAAAAGTCGAATTGAAAGAGTTAGTATTACTTTGTAACACATAAAAAAGAATGGCCAACGTAGATACAAGTATCTTGTCTAAGAGAGGGATAAATCCTACTTTGTAAAGAATCACTCTGATTCAAACAAAAAATACTCTGAAACTGACATTAGCAAAATGCTTGATTTCTTGATTGACAACATATTTGTTACGTTTGGAGGACGTGTTTTTCAACAGACTGTCGGAAATCCAATGGAACTAATTGTGCCCTCTTCTTGCCGACTTGTTCTTTATTATTATGAGGCTGACTTCATACAGGAACTTCTTGGGAAGAAAGATAAGAAGTTAGCAATATCCTTTATTTTTACTTCCCGCTATATAGATGATGTTCTCTCACTAAATAATTCAAAATTTGGTGACTATGTTGAACAAATCTATATCATCAAACCAGAGATAAAGGATACAACTGATACAGTTAAGTCTGCCTCATATCTTGACTTACATCTAGAAATTGACAATAAGGGTCGGTTGAAAACAAAACTTTGCGACAAAAGAGATGATTTCAGCTTCCTAATTGTGAACTTTCCATTTCTTTGTAGCAACATTCCAGCAGCGCCTGCATACAGAGTATATATCTCCCAATTGATACGATATTCCCGGGCTTGTATTTCCTATCATGATTTTCTTGATAGAGGGTTGCTGCTCACAAGAAAGCTATTAAACCAAGATTTCCAAATAGTGAAGTTGAAATCATCCCTTCGTAAATTTAACGGACGCCATCACGAGTTGGTTGACCGTTATGGAATAACCGTTTCACAGATGATATCGGATATGTTCCTTATGTCGAAACTACAATCCCTTTTCCTTTTCACGAATTTGACCTACCGAATTAGACTATTTAATGGATTTGTAATAACATGAGCAACACGACGGGTGCCATATGTGGAGCAGGATCTGCTTACCCTTTCGGCATACCTGAGATCACCCCAAATTTTTGGTGGGGTTCGTGTTGCTTAGTCTTTAGTTTTCTATGTTGTGTCTGGTGTACTATTGTTTGTCTGTTTGTCTTTTTCTTTTTTAGCCATGGCGTTGTCAGTTTATTTTCGATTTAGGAGTTTGACTGTCCCTTTGGTATCTTTCGCCCCTCTTTTGAGATATAGTCATACACATTTAGGTAGGAGAGACAGCTTTACCCAAAAGGAGATGTTGCCAAAAAATGTTATTTACAAAGTAGATAACATATACATCTATAAAAAAATTTGGGGTCAAGCTGTTGGTGATATGATTTTGACCAAAACAATGCGTAAAATGGCCACTTTAATTCTAATACGTAAATTTGAAATGTTATGATGTCTTATATAGTGACCTTTCTGCACTAAATTGCCCTTTATAGCTTACTATGCGATATTAGTTTTGCTCACTGTCAAATGCTCTCAGAGACCTATACCTCTACGTCATTTGGTATATGATAGAGAGTTGTCTCATTGGCAATCATGCCCAAACTTCTTATTTTTATTTTAGACTGTAATCAAGTCTAAAGTAGGGCAACTGAAAGGGAACTGTAGTACCTATAATAAACAACTACTTAAAAACCAACTTATATAAAGATAATCAAAGAAATATATCAAAGGATACAATGTAGCTAGCCATCTGAAATATTGTGTGTATGTTGTTCACCTATATTCGCCTTTCGGTGGCAGGGGCTATATTGTATGGTTGGCTGTATGTAATTATGCAGTGTTGAATGAAGGTCCCGGGAAAATGTTGACCTATTGACAATGGAAGGACAGACTAGTGTATATCATAAACTTTGTGCAGGATCAATTGAACTCACAAAGATCCAAGGGAAAGAATTACACTCATGCAAAATAAACGTGAAACACTTGAGGACAGATGGAAGAGTCAAAACGCTCCATTTTACACTCAAACATTCGGTTGTTCAAAGTTTGAATAAAAACATGGAATCTTTTTAATATATGACAGTGATATTGCTTTGATAAAAAAAAAATCATAAAAACAACTGGGTCAATAACCAGTATTTATTACAAAATAGTTCCATTTCACTTATGTATATTTTGATATTGATGAGTCTCGCATATAAGGAATTCCTCTTACTTCAACACTTTGGAACTCATACTCTGCTGAAGTTTCATTTATTAAATGCTGCTTTAGTTCAACAAAAATGTCTGCTAATAATCACTCGAACCACCAGGTTCATGATGGCACCGTTATCTGTTAGGGTTCCCACTAGGCACCTTTGAAGCAATTATGTACATGAATATATTTCTCTTAACAATTTTCATATAAATTGCTTAATCCAAGTACATGTATTTAAATTATTCTTCTGACAGGATTTGTAGTGTACTGAAAATAAGAAAATATTTTGGTTATTAGATTTAGTTATATAATTCACTCAAAAAGAATGGTCATTATGATATATTGTATTTCATTGTTATAACCATCTATGACCCCGATATGCTCTGCTCAAGTCATTCTCTTATCTAAAAAAACATAATATAAACATTACTGGAGAGTGCTGACACAGGATAAAATGAATATTCTGTCAAAAAAATGCAGGAAATAATTTTGTACAGATTGAAAATAAATTCGATAAGCATATATTATGGAATTTATTTTAGATTGCAGGATTTATGGAAAATGACCAGTCTGTCAAATAAATATACAGGAAATTATTTCTTTTTTTAAAGAGGATAGTCAGTAAAAATCTTTACCTTGAAATTCACATCTTCATGTATATGTATGTTAAAGCAGTACAAATTGTATATTCATATTTTTTCTTCTTAGATTTCCAATGCTTAAAGCCTGTGATAAAGATTTATAACTGCAATATTTATTAACTACTCGTTTGATATAATTGTGTTTCAATGTATCTAGTAAATTATAGTAAATTTCAAATATGCTGTTATGTTATTCTAATGATAAATTTTATTTTCACATTAGTAAAATGGTCTTCGTTTAATGTTGGAGTGTTCATTATGATTATGATAATCCTGTTTCTGATCGGTAAGTTTTTTTTATGTTAATTGCATTGGGGTTATGATATATAGTTAAAAATATAAAAACAAATCAATTTGAAAGCGTTTTTTAAAATTACTTGATTTCATTTCTTGAATAACGTGAATCATGCCTGGCTCATGTTTCAGTCTTCCGGAATAAACTAATATTTAACAATGAAAATCCCTTAACCGATTTAACCCACTTTGTGACGTGCCCCGTATGACTAATAATTATACCGAGTCTCATGTGACACAGTACTAAATTTTATTCGTCTATCTAGTGACAGATTTGAATTTTTAAGGGTCATTACTATGAAAGAATGAATTTTAAAATCGTTCATTTGTTTCGTTCTAACTAAAAACATTCAATTTAGCCTACTAAATATTTAAGAGATGATACCCAGATTGTTCTTTGTGTTTAAGTTGTGGTTATGATCAACTTGCAGATGTCATGAAAACGATTATTATGAAAAACTGTTATACAATGTATTCTAACGTCAGGTTTAAACTTTCAGGAGGAATTACATTCTGTTGGTTCTTACAAAAACAAACTGAAAATTATGCTGGTAAGTAAAGTTTATATTGCATTTCAATAGATCGTTGCTACATAATGCATGTACTCGTAAAGTATAACAATGTACGTAGTATAAGCAATGTTGCGACGCGCATATCAGCTTCAATGAAAAAGTCTATCAATAATCTGGATCACATAAAAAAAAACTTTACGACAAAAGAGATGATTTCAGCTTCCCAATTGTGAACTTTTCATTTCTATGTAGCAACATTCCAGCAGCGCCTGCATACGGGGTATATATCTCCCAATTGATACGATATTCCCGGGCTTGTATTTCCTATCATGATATCCTTGATAGAGGATTGCTGCTCACAAGGAAGCTATTAAACCAAGAATTCCAAATAGTGAAGTTGAAATCATCACTTCGTAAATTTTATCGACGCCATCACGAGTTGGTTGACCGTTATGGAATAACCGTTTCACAGATGATATCGGATATGTTCCTTATGTCTTAACTGCAATACCCTTCCCTTTTCACGAATGTGACCTACCGAATTAGACTATTTACCGGATTTGTAATAACATAAGCAACAAGACGGTTGCCACATGTGGAGCAGGATCTGCTTACACTTCCGGTGCACCTGAGATCACCCCCAGTGTTTGGTGGTGTTCGTGTTGCTTAGTCTTTAGTTTTCTATGTTGTGTCATCCGTACTATTATTTGTCTGTTTGTCTTTTTATTTTTGGCCATGGCGTTGTTGGTTTGTTTTCCATCTATGAGTTAGACTGTCCCTCTGGTATCGTTCGTCCCTCTTTTATTATAATTAATGCAAGAGAAAATCGTGATGTGCATAGAATTGGGTTATATACTTAGAAAATAGTTCGAGTGTGCCGTATTATGCAAATTACGGATAACTTTCAATAAGATTAATAATTATTCAAAGGAAATTTCAGTACAGAAATCTAAGAGTGCATGCGATTTTCTTTTTATGCCCCCGCAACTGAAAGTTGGGGGGCATATTGTTTTACCCCTGTCCGTCCGTCCTTCCGTCTGTCCGTCCTTCTGTCCTTCCGTCCGTCCGTCCGTCCCATTAATGGTATACAGTCATTCCGCATAACTTCTCCTAAAGTTTGAATCCTAGGAAGTTTCGACTTTGCTGTCTGTTTGTAAATATATTAAAGATATGCATGTGGTCAGGGTTTTGATTTTTATTAATATTTACTCTTTTGGGAGATAGTTGAACATCGTCATTTTTGGAGTATATACTTGCATAAGAGGTGCATAGCATTTCCGGATAACTTCTACAGTTTGAATGCTAGGAACTTTTCACTTTGCTGGCTGTTTGAACATATATTGAAGGTGTGCATTTGGTCAGGGTTTTGATTTTTATTAATAATTGCTCTTTTTGGAGAAAGTTGAACTTTGTCATTTTTGGAGTATTTATTTGTAAAAGAGGTACAGTACTGACTTAATCAGTATTATAATGAAACTGTACTGAAGAAATCCGTACTGAAACATTACTGACGAAATCCGTACTGAAATATTACTGACGAAATCAGTACTGAAACATTACTGACGAAATCAGTACTGAAACAATACTGACGAAATCAGTATTGAAACAGTACTGAAAAAATCAGTACTGAATTTATAGAATTAGTAATTGTAACGTTTTTGTATAATAATAAACAGTACTGAATTAATAGAAAGTATAACATTACAAGTTTTCAGTCTTGCCGAACAGTACTGATATGTACGAAGGTAGAAATGTACTTTGTCTTGTTTTTAAATATTTTTCCATGATTTAAATCCAATACCTGTATATATAAAGTAACTTCTTAATGGTGCAAAAGTTTGCGTAGAACGACGAACAACAACAAAAGATTTAGACACTTTTTATAATTATGCTCCACAAACGATACATATAGATTATAACATGGCATTTTTCATATCAGACCCCTTATCAGCCCTAGGTCATGATATCAGCAAGAGAGCCGATAGGCTCGGGGGATGTTTTTGACCATGGGCTGATAAGGGGTCTGATATGAAAAATGACATGTTATGTTCTTTTTATCATATCCTTCAGCAGAAGACATACAGACAAAAACTATTTTTAAAACTTTGAAAAAATGCATTTGTTCTAATATTTGTTTAATTTGCTTTATTTAATAATATATTTTCCTGATACTAATATTTTTAATGCAACTCTTTTATGTTTGACATAAAAAAAAACGTACCATTGAGATGTATATTCTGAAATTTGCCGAATGACGTCGAAATTTCATTACAGAAAAGCATGCGATAATAACCGGAAGCAGGTGATATAAAACGGAAGCAGTAAATAACAAAAGTCATATCACACGGCTAAAGCAATTCTTCAAATTAAATAAATAGTTTATGTTCAAATTAGTTTTATCATGGGGTACAATTATACCATTATTTTCTATAAGTATATGATAAAGTGAAATAAAGTACAATCCAATCTAAATCAATTTGAATGTTGATATAAAATATAATCTATTTTAAGAGTTAGAACTTCCAGAACCAATAGTAACTGTTGGACCAAGTCGTCCTATTGTCAAAGCAGGAACAGCTACAACTGAAATCAATGAATCAAAACCCGCCAACAACGACCAATACATACACACCGAAATTAGCGAAAATAGCGTAAGCTCAACGAAAAGATGTTTTGCAGACATTAAAGTAATAGGATGTAAGTATAATAATTGTAGATTTTTAGAATCTGTCGTGTTTATTCTACATGCTGAATTCTACATATATATCTGTCTTTCAACTGTAAAAAGTAAACAGGTTCGCTTGTTAGTTAACTCAATGGTCAATTCGGGTATAGAAAACTGGTCACCTGGACATCAACCATCCATCATACTATTATCCTGGGGCTGCCCAGATTTTTTGATCTTCAAATTGATCAATGAACTTGGCGGAACTTGCATTTTATTATATTATTGTAATTTGATTTGTCCATTTGTTCTCTATCTGAATATGCATGAAATGTTTGCCACATTACGGTAAGTGAGCAAAATCAATCAATAAATTGTTTGTTAGTTTCAGAAACTTGCTGAACGTACTGAAAAAATTGTATACTGATTGTCAAATTGATCAGAAAAATTTATAACATGTTCAGAATGAGATGAAAATATGTTCTGACAAAGATACCAGTGACAGAAATTTTGAGCTTGGTGATAAAATACTTTGAATTGTTGCCAGTCCCTTGGCATCCGTTACAGGCTTTATATGATGGTCCTTATGAAATAGAGAATAAAAGCAATGATTTGAATTATATTGTAAAAACTCCAGGTCGGTAAAAACAAAATAGAGTGTGTCACATTAATTAACTTTGATAGCAGGAAAGAACTGAAGTTTTTGGTACCAATTTTTACATTGCCATATTTACCACATTTAACAATTTTGAATTACAGACCAAAGTTGCAGAATCCTCAGTGTTTGTTCTTTCTTTTGTGCTATTAAAATAGAATTCCAAAAACAGGTTTTATTTTGTTTTTCCCTATTGCCAAACATATTTTTTTTTTGTCTCGTTTCTGTTATTTTTTACTAAAGATAGAACTTTGAGTCGTCTTTAAACATTTCTAATTAAGTAACCTATTATGAAAAATGAAATAATATATTATTATACTTATTTATATAATGTTGATAACACCTCACAGTAACTCATAAGACATATATTGAAGAAGAGGTTGTGATGGATAAATTTTCGTCACACAGTTCATAATGTTTTGACACACATGTATTTTGATTTGAGCGTTCCTAGTGATGGTAAATCCAGAAAACCGACTCAAACGCATGAATAATATAAAAGAGTTGTTTTCATTTTCAATCATTTGGTAAAAACTGAGACTTTGAGAAAATGACATGGTCTGAATTAAATTAAAGGAAAATTAGAACCTCCCATTTTCTTGAAAAATACATTAGTTATCCTTTTGTTCTATTTTTTCAGCTCTGCCCGTTATCTTTCCGGCTTCAGTCACGTATACCATGGACATTGGACATACTGTTAGTATCGTATACTTGATAGTATCGGACCTGGATACACAGATATCCCTCAAAAGAAAAAGTAATGTTGGTGACAAATTTTTTGTTTGCTGTCCTATGAAAACAGAGACATTAGAATATGCAGATGGCAAGTTCAAGTATTTTGTGAAAATTTGCTCTCTGAAAACGAATAAACCGGGAATTTATTTTTGTGATGCAACTAATGTAGTTGGAACTAGATCCAGTAAACAACAAATTACAGTTACGTATACTAGTGGTAAGTTCTTTTATATTGATAATTGCATTTTATGACACATCATTTTAATCAAAATGTCTAAGAAATTACTTAAAAATCTAAAGAAATCAATCATGCACAGATTTTGAACAAGCACTTGATGAAAGATTTTGTACCTAGACATATGTGTTACATTTAGCGCTGTCTAAACGAAAGATGTCAGTGAAATAAATGGTTAGTTGAGAACAATGAATAAGTGACTCTAATTGCGATTAAAGTCAAGTTGCAAGTATGTTGTTTATCATCACAATACCGGATAGAGTGAGTTTGAAACCACCATTATATATTTTAAGTTCTGTTTGGAAAAATGTTAGCACGTGAGTTTTGTGTTACTTCATGAATCATATCTATGGAGATGCTTTAAAAACTGTGACATTGATAATTTAAATATGTTCATGCATGTTGCATATTGATAAAAGCAGTCTAGAAAATTATGTGAAAAAAGCAGTTATACATACTTTTTTTTCTAAATGTCTTAAAATATTGTGTTGATGTGTAGTATGGTAGTCTACTATGACGAGTAACAGATCAGGATTACGTTTGGTCTGCTCGGCTGGTTTTTGCAGAAATTACGGGCTTTGGACCATAAACATTATGTTATAGGAGACAAGTTTTCTAAATGCCTTCACATATTGAGCGGAATTTTAGTATGTGAGTTAAACGATGAGTTACATATCTAGTTTACGTTTGGATCCACGCCGCTGATTCTTTTCAAAATAACGGGCTTTGGACTATGTAAATTTAGTGAAAATGAACGAGTTTAAACATATTTTTTTTCTAGACGACTCAATATTGAGCTAATTTTTAGTATGTGAGTCTACTATGATGAATAATAGATCGAGTTAACTTTTTGATCTGCTCCAGTAATTTGTGCTGAAATTACGAGCTTTAGCCTTTGAAAATTTCGTGAAAATAACAGTAATAAGGACTTTCATTCCCAAATTCCTACTCCTAAAAATGTCTTCAAGCTTTTTTATGCGAGTGGGAACAAATGTTTTGGTAAAACTTTTCTTCGAAAGACGCCCAAACCAAAATTATCTAACTTGTATCGGAAAGACACTATAATGGTTGTCAATACAATGGAACGTTAAGCGACTGTCATATAACTGAGAGATTAAGCAAGCTATAAATCAAGGTTAAATCCACTTTTTTCTACAAATGAAATGACTGTACCAGGTCAAGAATATGACAGTTGTTTTCCATTCGTTTTATATGCTTTTGATTTTGCCATTTGATAATGGGTTTTCCGTTTTTAATTTTCCTAGAGTTCTGTATCTCTTTTATTTTACTTTTTACTCAAGATAGAAATTTTGATTCTTCTTATTCATTTGTTATTTTCATAAATACAAAAAAGAACCTGATGTTCAGTAGTTGTCGTTTGTTGATGTAGTTCATGAGTGCTTCTCGTTTCTCGTTTTATATAGATTAGACCGTTGGTTTTACCGTTTGAATTGTTCTACACTAGTAATTTTTTGGGCCTTTTATAGCTTACTGTTCGGTGCGAGCCGAGCAAAGGCTCCGTGTTGAAGACCGTACTTTGACCTATAATGTTTTTTCTTTAAGAAATTGTGACTTGGATGGGGAGTTGTCTCATTGGCACTCATACCACATCTTTTTATATCTAAAACATTGTGAATATCTTTCAAAATTAAAGTTTTGAGAGGTCTTTAACCATTTCTAATTTAGTTACCTATTTAGAAAAGTAAACAAATGTTGATAACAACTCACAGTACTCATAAGACATGTATTAAAAAAGAGGTTATGATAAATAAATTTTTGTCACACAGCTCATAATGTTTCGACACACGCATTTAGAAAAAGACATGGTCTGAAATAAATAAATTAAAAGATTGGAACCTCCCATTTTCTTGAAAAAGCCATTGGTTATCTTTTGTTCTATTTTTTCAGCTCTGCCCGTTATCTTTCCGGCTTCAATCACGTATACCTTGGACATTGGACATACTGTTAGTATTGTATACTTGATAGTATCGGACCTTGATACACAGATAGTCCTCAAAAGAAAAAATAATGTTGGTGAAAAGTTTGTTGTGTGTTGTCCTGTGAAAACAGACACATTGGAATATGTAGATGGCAACTTCAAAAAGTATTTTCTGACCATTTGCTCTCTTAAAACGAATAAACCGGGAATTTATTTTTGTGATGCAACTAACGTAGTTGGGACTAGAACCAGTAAACAACAAATTACAGTTACGTATGCTAATGGTAAGTTCTGTACTATTTATAATTTCATTGTACAACACATCATTTTAATCCAAATGTTTGAACAATTAATAAAAAATCAAAAGAAATCAATCATTCACAGATTTTGAACAAGAACTTGATAAAATATTTTGTACCTAGACATATTTGTTACATTTAGCGCTGTCTAAATGAAAGTGTCAGTGAAATAAATGGTTACAAAAAAAATGTAGTTGAGAACAATGACTAAGTGACTCTTATTGCGATTAAAGTTAACAGGCAAGTATGTTGTTTATCATCACAATACTGCATAAAGTGAGTTTGAAACCACCATTATATATTTTAGATTCTGTTTTACCGTGTTAATAGAAAAATGCAAGCACGTGAGTTTTGTGGTACTTCAGAATCACATCTAGGGGTAGTCCAAATAAGTATGACGTCTTGAAAGGCTATTATACGTTTTTGCTTTGACGCCTTGATGCTTTCAAAACTTGTTACATTGATAGTGTAAAAATTTTTAATCTATTTCGAATATTGATTAATTTAAAACAATCTGGATTTTTTTTAACACATACATCATTATTTTTCATAAATCAATTTTCAGAGTGTTCCTGATAACCAATTCTATGTACGCTCAACTTTGCCCGAAGGGCAAGGGTAGTATTTATAATATAACATTAATTTATATTAACAGAAAAATGTCCAATAAAATCAAATTGATAAACTTTGAAAATCAAATAACAGCTACAAAAAAAAATCATAAAAGCTTAGTTACTTATGTATTTGTGTTGAGTTATTTACACCCGCTTACATGCAAATCCCTATCGGTATGGCACTAGATTTTAAAAGGCTAGTTCCCAGACTTGGGACAGGCGAATAAATGCAGCGGGGTTAAACATGTTATGTTAGATCTCAACCCACACCCTATACCTCTAGCCAATGGGGGAAAGCAATTTAAACACACAGCAATACACATAGTATAACTCATTTTAAAAGAACTCCGAGTCCGTTGTTAAAAAAGATAACAGAAGAAACTAATCAAAAACAAAAACAAAAAACAAAAACATTGTTTATTTAATATCATTAGAAAACTAATTCTGGGAGATCTTTCACACAAATGTTTGTCTGTAGCATTTATTAATTTAATACCGCTCGTTTATCTTCATTATCCCGTGTACATTACAATTAAATTACGCTATTTGTTTTCGTTATGTAATACAACGGTCCGATTACACACAAGGACGTCATTCGGTACCCAGAGGATATAAAGACAAAACATCTTGCCATATACATGTACTAATGTTGAGTTCTAAAATTTTGTTAATCCCCTTTACATTTTCATGTTCATGTCCAAAGTCAGGAAACTTGTCAATGGTGTTGTTTTCTTAATAAGGTTTTCTCGCCACTATGGTACAAACTTACTGAATACATGTACTAATTCATTATTTTAATATCTGCCTTTTTTCGGAAATTTTCCACAAGAATGTATGCCGAGACATATCAAATTGAACTTCTGTATCACGTATCGGACAAACATAACCTACATGTACCATGTACTTATAACTAAACATGGCAGACTGAATTGTCTTTTCGTGTGGAAATATGTTGTCGAAAGTCGAGAACCTTGTAGAGGATTAAAAACAAAAAACGTAACAGGTAGTGAAAAACCAAAGGGCATTACATGTGTCATTGTTCATGGTAGTACTTCATTCCATTTTGACGGAAACAAATAGACGATTCAAAATTAGACACAACTCCAAGAGTTTGAACTAACCCTGTAAAACGTGAAATGTAGAAAATAGTCAGACTGTAGCACCTTACAGAATGTCTTCACAATTTTTTCGACACCAGACCTTCACAAATATAAAAGATTAAAGGTCAAGGTACCTTGCACTTCCCATCTTAATCCTTGCTATAGGATAGAATCGGCGGCTACCGTAACGCGTTATAGTAAGATAAAAAGTAAATTTTAGAATATATTTGGGACATCAAGGGGGAACTTTGTTAAGTTTCGACCCTCATTGGTAGTTAAGGTCGTTAAACACCCCCTAGTAGTATGAAAAACTGATAACTGTATATTTCAGAAACATTCATGGCAGTCGTATATTTTGTAATTTCGATTCTCAAATGACAAATACGGTAAACTGTCAACCATGAAAGCCCTATACACACGATACTGATTTCGCTGTTTCGATTCACCCCGTATAATAATATTAATAATATCATATAATTTAATAATAAATAATAAAACTCTCAACACGCACTTAAAATGTCCTTTAAATATTATTCTATTATATTGTGAGGCGTATAAGAAGCCTGAAACTATCAGTGTTTACATTTGACGCAGGAGGCATACACATGACGTCACCTTGTTTAGTTGCCAAAGACGATGACGTCATTTCGCTTTCTATGAAATTTTACACCGAAGATATATCTGAAATGGACTGATTTGTTTATTTTGCATTGGACCAGAGATGATCGCATTGTATTTGAAGCTTGGCAGACGTAAAACTTGGGTTTTACTGTCGAAAATTGAGTTAACCTGTTCGTATAATTAAGGTGGACGAAACGCAGAACAGCCACTTTTGTTTATTTATGTGTCTGCGCTAAAAGTAGATATACTGTGATTTTACTGGATGATAAATAGGGTGTCATATTAGAATGTCGAACACCCATCTTCCGTGGGGTTGAACGAATATATGTGTTTGTGTATGATTTTTAACAATGGCTTTTTTTGCAAATGATGTTTTCATTGTATATTTATTCAATGCAATAGACACAATTTGTAAACAATCATATCACAAATATCAAATAATAGTGTTTTGATAATATTACTAATCCTTATGTAGTATAGGTATTATTTCTGGATGTTTTAATTTGTATTTTCTAGAAATAATGGCATCACTGGATATTGGATCCACGACTTCAAACGTTGCGTTCATCTGTACCGAAGAATACCTCCATGACGAGAGGAAAATATACACGACTCGTATGCATACTGGTGAAAAGATGATACAGCCTACATGCTTGTTAATAAAGAATGCGAACCAAAAAACACTGTTTGGGAATGATGCTAAAACGGAATATGAAGATTGCCTGACATGGGACGACTCTACGAACAATTCATTTTTTGAAGGATTTAGAGCCAAGTTGTGTAAACAAAAGGTAATGATAGGATTTTGACGTATTTTGCAATTAACTTTCATGGTAAATATAGTTTGAAAACCAACTTGGTCGTCTATACAAATTGAGTTGATTTCTTCACGCTGTGCTACATCGAATGTTCTTGTGATACTTATATGCATTTTAAAATATTGCTTGAAATAGGAATCCTCTTGATTTGATATTTATAATTGTATAGACATGTTTATCTTTTAATATCATTTAATCAGTACAAATTCATTAAACCATATTTTACATGAAAGTAGTTTATGATGTCTCTTCGTACTTAATGAAATAATAAACAAAAAGGTTAAAAATGGCTAATTGTCAAATCCATGTAATGCTATATTATATTTCAAAACAATTCTAGAGGAGATCTAAAAAATGAAAACAAGATGGCTGACATAACCTGAAAAACACTTAATTTGTCATAGTGATGGTAATGGTAGATCAATTATTCCTTGCTGGTCGTCAAGTTGTTTCTTGTATTTTCTTGAAGAAAACAAATTAACATTTAAGTAAGTTTTGCAGGAATATCTAGGGATAGTTTTTCCAATGATTATTTGTGTTGTTTTGGAATGCTGTCTCATTGACGTTCATACAATAGCGCATAATACACTAGTATTCCATTTTTTTTAGTAAAATTACAATAACACTTAAGTCATTGGTAAGTGAAATAAATATTGCATTGCTCCTTTATGCATGTGATACATCATTACATTGTAATTACTTCCCATTAAGTGTGCTTATATACCTTTTCTATTTCGATTGGCTTATTTTCTGATATTTTAATTAATGCCCATTTCATATATTATTACATACAAATTGATATGATCATGTATTATTTTTCATAATTAGCTTCTCGTTGAAATTATGATAACATTTTTTTTATATTTGTATGCCACTCTGAGTCTGAAAATCGTCAATTTTCTCCCACGTCAGTGTTCTTCGATGTACAAATAGAGCGCTTTAGGCATCTAATAAATAATTCAGAACAAACAAGTGCTTTAGCAGTCTTGAATTTGTTGAACTGCTACTTGATAAGAGAACATGTTTGGCATTGACAGAAATGTTGCCTAATATGATCCTCTGTGAATCGCTTTGGGGCTTACTGTAGGGATTCAAGGTGAGCATTTCCGTTCCTATTGGCAAGAACAATTTTTGAAAGTAAATCTCAGCGAATGTCAATCGATCGCCTGAAATTTTTGTTTTGCATTTTAGTGTTGTTTCGGATGAAGTATTCTTTGTGAAAATACTAGTCCTATCTATCTTTTGCATAAATTTGTTTTCTTGTATATCTTATCTGAAACGTTTGATTATAAATGAATAATCAGAAGAAACAAAATCTGAATTGTTTATGGTACCTAATAAAATGGTTTTAGCCTTTGTTTAAAATATAATTCTAAAAGAAATATTTGCTTCCGTTCGAACTTACTTTTTATAATATTGTTAACGTCTGTTCATTTTTGCATTAAATATGGTGTTTGAAGTAACACATTTAAGGAGGCTGGTGAGTCTTCCTTCATCTTATATTTTCGAGGAGAAGAAAATACTTTGTCTAGATATATAATAAAATGTGAAAATTTGAGAGTAGTATGTTAATATAGAAAATTATGTGTTTTATCATAATTACGGATGTATTATCTAAAATACACTATATATTTGTTTAAATCTTCTTTTTTTTTAAACTTTGCCAAACAAGGGGAGATAATTCAGATAGTATTGGAGATAACTCAAATAAAGTAATTTGTATGATAAAAAGTGATGGAATCTACCTATTTTTATATGTAGCAATATAAGTCCGATGACCCATTATTTCTTTTTCTAATCTGAAACCATATTATAAAAGATCACATTTTATCTCAAACATCTATGGTGTAATTTTATTTCATTCACACAAAATTGGATTTTCCATGCAAAATCTATACAAAATCTGACAATTTTGTACAAACAACCTGTAGCGCGAAAAAAAAATCCGGTGACCCATTCTTTATTTTATTTTGGATAAAAAGCATGATAAAAACTACATTTTTGACAAATTATTGAAAAATTCTATCGATTTTAATGAAGACACCCTCACCCCATCCATGGACAATTATATCTGATCTTCTGATCTGTAATGTGATAAAGCTTCAATAAGTGTAATTTTTAAAGAAATATTTAAACATTAAGAATTGTCTTGCTCTTTGAAATTGTAGGACATGTTGGAAAAATCCAGAATAGAGGACGTCACTGGACGAATAAAAATGTGTACATCAGAAATATTTAAACACATTATCATCCATTTAAAAGAAATGACTATTCACGAAATTAAAGAAAGGCATATTAACGTAAAAGAAGATAGCATATTATGGATTTTGACCTTGCCAGCAGAGTGGTATACACGAGAGAAAGACTTTTTCTTTACTTGCTGCGAAAAGGTAAGAATTATTCATTATGGCATTATTATTTTTGATTGATTATAATACTAGATGTAATATCAGTCTGATTAATTTTCATGTAGTCATACTTAATATATATTTAAACTTTAATTTTTCAATTACACAAAAGTGAACAGAATGATTTATAAAAATGGATGTACTCATAGCCTGTACAGAAGCAGATGGTTGCCTTAATAATAGACAGTTTTAAAATCAAAAGTAAAATCACAAAAATAATGAATTCCGAGGAAATTTCAAAACGGAAAGTCCCTAATCAAATGGCAAAATAAAAAACTCAAACACATCGTGTTGTGTTTTGACTTCTTTTATCAATACTGCTACAGGTTATAGTTTTAAATTGAAAAGGCTTGGTTTTCAGTATGGTGTTGAAACAGATTCGTCTACAGGTAAACTGTGTCCAAAGTAGACCTGACTTAAAGCTAACTTTGTGATTTTACCAAATTAGATTAATATTTAGAGGCGGGAAAATTATATTATGTATGGACCGTTTAAATATTTTCACAACAACTTTGAATTTCATGAAATGAATATCAAGCCCAATACTTTAAAACCTCCATATGACATAATGAAATCTATTATATACTGAGCCAGGAACCTATAACCCCTGTCATCTTTTGTATGTGTTTTGTTTTTAATATTGGTTTATTTGCATCTTAAGGATATTTCGAAAGCTGTGCGGTGAATTATGATTGTTCAAATCTTTATCTTTCGCCTTTATTATTATATTTTGGTAGTTTCAATCACTTTTTTTTTATTAGTTTTGCAATCGACTGTGTTCTACTTCCGGAATGTTACATCGACACTGATTGAATTTTTTTATATATATATTTCAATTGACAAGAAACATGTATACGTCTTTTTATTTCCAATATTTGTATGATTTCACATTTTTTTTTATTGCAATTAGTTTTCATCGAAGGGACTTTTCCTAAAGGCCTATAAATAAAGGAATACTTTGCAAAACAATCGGTGAACATATCTTTTTAACGTATTACAAAAATGAAATTTTGCATGTTAACAGGAAACATGCAAATTTAAAAGGCCAAATAAAGTACGAAGTTAAAGAGCTTTGAGGACCAACAATTCCTAAAAGTTTTGCCAAATGCAGCCAATGTAATCTGAGGTAGAAAAGCCTTAGTATTTCAAAAATTCCAGTTTTGTAAACATTTAATTAATAGTTATGACCATATCAATGATAATTCATGTCAACACATAAGTGTTGACTACTGGGCTGGTGATACACGCGGGAAATTAAAAATAAGAAGATTTGTTTCGACTGTTGTTAAAGAGATACGTAAGATACTAAAGGTACATTCAAACTTATAAATAAACTAATAATGCCACAGTAGAAAAGACAATCACTAGATAACAAAGCACAACATAGAAAGCTAAAGACTGAGCAAAACTAACTCCACCGGTGTTATCTCAGGTGCTTTGTAAGGGTTAGCATATCCTGCTCCGCATCATTTTAAATTTATTATGTACACACTGGTATAGTTATACATCTTTTTTGTCTCGGTGAAAATAATCTATTTTCAAATCATATTGGTTCAAATTGAACGAGTTTGTTTTCTTTTGATTTTATACTTCAAATTTTTTTTTTATGAAACGTCAATATCTTTTTGTAGGTTATAATTGATTAGTGTACATTATATCATTTTCAGCTGTGACTATTTAAATGTCATGGTTGTTTTATCCTTATACTTTATCAATTTGCTGTTGCAAAATTTTGAAATTATTTTCAATAAAGAAGTATATCTCCTTCATGAAATGATCTGAAACCTTGTCCGGCTTTGATTATACTCGTTGACCTTTTCGGTTTTATCAGTTCTTTAATGTTTTAATAAGTTTTGTATTTTCTCAATATGTTGAACTCGGGCACCACTTAAGACACATTTACTGTCGAAATTCGCATCTGGTACAGAAAATATGCTACTGTTTATGTAATTATCAATTTATGCTTTATAAGAATATGTGAAATTAATTACAGGCTGGGATACAAAACAGCAAGTTATTAATGCTATGCGAATCTAAGGCGGCGTTCATTTACTGTCAAAGTTTGGAAGGCAAAAGAAATACACCAATGTTAAACTGTGGCATGCAGCATTTGATAGTTGATATAGGAGGTATGTTGACGACATTGAATGAAATGATTTAATTTTATTTTGAAGTCAGACACAAAAAGGCCTTAATCTATTTCATACATGACCCTAACATTGTATTTGAATATGTTATAAATGAAAATAGCACTTCATCAATATATATATATATGTATAAATTAAGTATTGTTATAATTTACTACTGTGAATAAGAGGCAACATTAGTTTACCGATGTTCAAATATAATAAAGGAATAAAGAAGATATGAATCGAAATTAAAAATAAACTTAAATCGAGGTAATTGCATGAACTCCATTAGTGCGATACTGTACTCGAAATGTGATAATAATGTATTATTATTTACCTTGAATCGTAACGATTTTTTTCTATGATTGATTAATAAAACAATCAGTGTTTGTGTAAGGTGACATTTACTTGTTATGTTTATTAATTGCGAATTTAATATCAAAACCATGCTTAGTAATATTGGTTTCCTTATTCAGGGGGTACAAGCCAGTTGTCGGTACTTCAACCAGTAGACGCAAATGAATTAAAAGAACAGCATCCTTCTGCCGTTTTACCATGTGCTGGGGATACGCTAGATAAGGATATAATGTACTTTTTTGGAAAAATTGTCGGTGATAGGGTTGTCGACGATCTTAAAAAGAAAGCCAGCTGTTACAATGATATTCAGAAAGAGTTTGAATCTGCTAAAATGCAACACGCAAGCAACGTACCATGGGCAAGATTCTCCTTGCCAGTCGACATTTTGAATAAACTATGTGTTCAGTTACATAACGAGACATTTGTCGAAATGCTTTGCAAACATCCAAAAGTAAACATGGACATAGAACATTTAACTGACGAAAAGAAAAAGGAAACCATATCTCTGAAAGGCGGAAAATTTTTCATTGGTAAAGATTATTTGTCTGAATTATACCAAAAAGTAATAGATGTTATATCTTCAGAAATAATTAATTATCTTAAAAGATATTCTCTTACCAGCATTACTTCGATAGTCCTTGTCGGAGGATTATCAAATTGTAGACTTGTAAGACAAGCTATTGAAAAAGCATTTCCAAAAAAGAAAATTTTTCTTGCTGATGATTCAGTTTTTGCTGTTGCAAAAGGGGCAATTTTATTTGGCTGTAAGCCAACCATTATAACCACAAGAATTACAGGATACACATATGGACGTCGAATTCGTCCGAAATTCGAACAGGGAGTCCATAATCCAAAGAAAAAGGTAAAAGATGATAAAGGACCGGATCGTTGTAAGGACGTGTTTGAATCTTTTATGAGTAAAAACCAAATCGTACCAATTGGTACTACTGTGAAACTTGTATATTTTACAGTATACCCACACAAATATGTAACAATAGTTTTATATATGTCTGAGAAGGATGATCCAAAATATGTGGACGAGGAGGGATGCAAGAAGATCCTTGAATTCAATGTCAAACTTTCTAGGCCTAGTAAGAGAAGACAGTATATTGATGTCGAGTGTGTATTTGAATACGACAAAGTTACCGTGAAGGCAGTCGATAAAGCATCAGGAGAAATTAAATCTTCATATTTTCAACTATACTAATATACGTTTATTTTGCTGAAATATTAGAATATTCGTATCGGATTCGTTGACTTAAGAGAATTTTTATTTATTTAAACATAAGGAAATTCTTTTAAATACACTGATAAATACGGATAGAAAAATCACTAAAAATATTATAGAGCTCCAATGTAAATTAAAAAAGGGGAAGTTCATAAAAACGTTAAAAAAAATAAAACGTTAGATTTTATCAACCTACGGAAAACAACTATGTGACTTGGTACAGACATTTTCGAATAAATTGTAGACTGAACCTTTTTTTGTTTTATGCTAGCTGAACCTCCCATTTGAATACCATTTGTCTATAATTCCGTTATCTTGAGAAAGAATATTGGTTAAGCAACCCAAACAAACGTTATATGTGACAATAATTGAGATCCAGCAACATATATCATATACATGCAACACAAACGATTAAAAAAATCCAACAAACATACAAATAAATGCAATAAAGACGCAAACAAAAAAAAAGCTTCTGCACTTGATTTAAATTTGACAAAGAAGCCAACAAAAAAGTTTTTGAAGTTGAAAGTAACTATACACAGTATATAGTATACACTTTCTCGATAAATTACAAACTAAGTAAATTTAAATACAAGGGTAAAAAAAATAAAAACAACACCCGATTGCGTCCGATTCGCACATCTTCACCCACCTGCACCAGGAACGCCCAAAGTTAAATAACAGATAGTTGGATGTATAAATACCGAGTCACGTCAAGAGTCAAACGACTAAAAGGAACCTTATAGCACAAAGACAAATTAAGGGAAGACTGCAATGTAAAAAAAGACACATCACCTAGAATCTATAACTCAAGACCCTTTTGTATTATTTGTGAAATAGATAAAGATTTTTTAATAAAAAAAAAAGAAAGTAGGTTAAATATATTACTAGTGTTTTTTTTTATTATTTTTTTTATTTTGTTTTCGCCTGACCCTTTTAGACTTTATGAAATATGCTGCGTTCACACGTATTTCGAATTCGATTCGCATTAACTAATTTCAATTAGTTTAATTCGCATTTGAAACGTTTTAATACGAATTGCAATGCGCGTTAAATTCGCTTTACTATCCGAACCGCGTTAACATTTAATTCGCATTATCAATTATTAATTATAATTTAAAACAAAACAACCAATTTAGAGCCAAAAACATCTCGAAACTTGTTCTCTTGATCTGATATGGCATTTATCGTAATCATTTTTCCTTCTCATTTCATAACAGGTCTGCAGTTTTCCTATTTTTTCCAAGAACATTTTATTCTGGTATTTTGCACAAACCTTTGTTAAACGACAAAACATCTTTTGGTTTGTATTTGAAAGTTTGCCAAGATATAACACTTCTAAAAATCTTCTTTATGGAACGACCATTTGATTTTGATGGAGGGTGCCAGGATCAAATTTGAAATAAAAAGGCAGGATCTCAAGAGCACTTGTTCTGGAAATTCGAATAACAATTTAAGAAGTAGCCACACCACAGTTTAATTCAAATTGAAGCGAAAACGCATTTCTAATGCGAATTGGATAATACGAATTAGTCAATTCAAATTCGAATTAAAAAAAAAGAAGAGTGTGTAAACGCCATTAGCGAATACGATTCAAATTCGATTCGAATTAATTTTTCGTTTGAACGAGGCATTAGTTGGCGTCCGTCGTCGTTGGTTGTTGTCCATCCACCAATTTATATTTGTTAGCTTTTCTCATCACTTGGCATCCGTTTACTTTTACAACAACAAAAACATGATTGTATGAAACTACCCTACAAAATTTAACCAAACCTAGCAACAATCATTATCTTGGTATCTTATTTTAAATAGTAAGTCACATGACCCCGTCTTTCAACTTACATGGCCGACATGGCTAAAAATAGAACAGAGGGGGTAAAATTCAAGTTTTGTCTTTTAACTAGAATACCTTATAATAAAGACGGGGCAAAAATATTCAGAATGTTAATATCTATCTGGACTAAGCAACACGAACCCCACCAAAAACTGGGGTTAATCTCATGTGCTCCGGAAGGGTAAGCAGATCCTGCTCCACATGTGGCACCCGTCGTGTTGCTCATGTTAGTACAAACCCGGTAATAAGTCTAATTCGGTAGGTCTCATTCGTGAAAAGGGAACGGGATTGTAGTTACGACATAAGGAACATATCCGATATCATCTGTGAAACGGATATTTCATAACGGTCAACCAACTCGTGATGTCGTCCGTAAAATTTACGAAGGGATGATCTCATTTTCACCATTTGGAACTCTTGGTTTAAAAGCTTCCTTAAATAACGATTTGAACATTTTTTTTTTAAAGTGTGGCACATTATCTTGAATACTATAATAGATACAGGGAAACTTTAAAAGCAAAAATGATCAGCAACACACGATCTACAAATAAATGTCATGATCAAAATTGACAGACAAGTTATTGCCCATAAGTGACAATTTTTAACATTTTTATTTTGGGTTTTGGCTAATATCTTCAAAAGTATAATAAATAGATATGATAAAACTTAAATAAGCAAAAATGATAAGATAGACAGGATCTACAAATGTGTGAAATGACTGAAATTATCCGAAGACTCTTCATTTGGAGTTACTGTTCTTTAATGTCGACTTTTACCGATTTTTAGTTTTGTCGGAAAGGGGGGGTGGGGGGCTATTAATAAAATCCAACCGTCTGTCCGTTCGTCCGTTCATCCGTCCGGATATAGTTACATTGTTTGTCCTCCTACAGGTTTTGAGCTACAGCTTTAATATTTTGTAGGTCGTTTGTACATTGTACACATGATAGAAGTGTACATGCATGTCTACAGGATTTTGATTTTTTTCAAATATTCTCAAAATGCCAGGTATTTGGACTTGTCAATTTTTTTAAATTTATTTGGTACTAGCTGCATAGAGAAAATAGACATTCAGAATTAAGATATAAGATAGATCATCATACATAGATTTATACCTTCTTATGGTCAGGCGGGGGCACCATTTGTGTCTAACAGACAGCGCAACAATTTCAAGTTGTATTTCAACATCACTGTTTGTGATGTCTTCGATCGGAAAACCACTTTCCTGGTTTAGATTAATAGATGATGTTGATATGAAATGGAATAAAAGTGACAGAGATTTAGATACATTCATCACTTATGGTAACAGCATTCATCAAAGTATCAAATTTACTCATGAGAGATCTAAATCCAAAATCACCTTCCTCGATACTTCCAGCTCCCTAACAGATGGCATGATATCCACAGACCTATATTCAAAGCCTACTGATACTCACCAATACCTGTCACCAAAAACACAAAATTATTCAAACAAGTTTTCAGCATGAATATCCTAGTGATTGAACAGAACATTAACTGGAGTGATGCCCAGCGACAGGTTCGGGAACGCTTTTGGATAAAGGAACTAAATGTACTTAAAATCTCCTTCGCCATGCTCGTCCGAATTTAAAACATTTCTTTACTAAAATCCTTGGTATAATAAATAAAACAAAACTCTAGGTATAGGTTTAGTTGCTCGCAGTAACTTTTCGCTTTTCTCTTTTCTAGCAAGCAATGTTTAATAACATTATAAACCAACATATTATAATAACAATATTCAAAATACAAATAAAATTGTCCAATACATTTAAATGGACTGAAATCAAACTTGATATTGTAATATACATTAATATGCGACAATAAACTGCAAACTGACTGTCGTAGTTACTGTGAGCGCATTTCGACGAAATGACACCCAAAAATTTTCTTTATATACTATAACGGAACCCCACCTTTTAAATAAACCGCCAAAATATTTCACGTGCATGTTTTACCCATATATATTTATATCCAAAAACAAGAACCCGTTATACAACTACTCTCACTAACCAGTTTTGAACATATAACTAGACGTGTTAGGAAAGTCAATACAATTTTGTCGCTGATGTTAAATACTAATACCACTACAGGCTTTTGTGGGGACCATCTCAAAAAGCCCAGGTAGTCATTATTTATAGTTACCTGTATGGGTTTGTTTGATAATACTGAGATGATTTTTATACAACTAGATAATAACAATTTTTACCGAGGAGGATCCAGCAAAACAACACGATAATTATTAATATTATCATAAAATTGCCTTGGCTCATAGTAATTATCGAATACGTTTAAGATCGTTGTTCCCCCATTTCTTACTATGTTGTAGTCTCGATTACCCAGACGCATATATAAATATAGCGTCTGGGGTGATTAACCGGACTGGTCAGATATTTATAGGGGGCGTAACAAATAATTAAATATAGAATTTATCTATAAATAGCACTTCCGTTATCCCCAAAATAATTTAAAAAAACAGTAGTATATGTATGTAAAGTATATGTGATTATTAAAACTGACATTCTTGTAGCTCACCCTATGTTGCCCAACTTGATGATGGGCAATTTTAATAGAGACGTGATGTCAAATAAATAAAACGGCTTCAAATACCATTTCACACGTATTCTTGTCTCAGTGATTTATAAACATGTAATAAAGATCTATAGTCAAAATAAAGCTTTTGGCCGTACTTATTCAGATTTCGGACATTTTTTTCGTTAATTAAAAGTACTTATAAGTTTTTTTGTCATGATTTTCATCTAAGACTTTATCATAAACTACTTTTCTAGCTTAAATTTCTAAAAAAAAACGATTAAAAACTGTAATTAACGGTGTTCTTTTTTTACCTGAATTTTGTACATGTACATTTTTTTTTAAAAGAGAAAAATCAATTGGTAAAGAAAGGTCGAACTAGCATTCACAGACAGTGACTAGGTTCCACTCTTTGGGCTTTATAAAGTTTTATTGAAAATTTGTGTTAATTTTAATGAAGCGTTGACAACACACACTTGTCCCGCTTTTTCTACTATCAAACATGAACCTCTTCTGTAAATGGATACATGTTTGATGGAACAAGATTCGAGGCAAGTATGTGTCAATCTGCTCTGATAGCCTAATGCAGTTCTTCGTTACGGTAAATGTGAAACAAAAATGGTAAATATGATACAAAAACGGATGTAACAAGGTATATTTCGACCCCTAATATTGCAATTTTCGGCCGGGAGGTAGGGGTGTGCCCCCTTAATCCCCTTTACCAGGGTGCCTCAGTTGGCGGCACCAAACACCTGCCTCGTCTGATTCTGAGGCCTAGTTACGACCCTGTCTAAATGTTATAGCACTCGTCATAGGTGGATCCAGCCCCCCCCTCTTTTCGTGGGAAAAATTTGGTTGATAATATAGGGAAT